CCCACATTATAACAGCAGTAATAGAGCCCGGATGTACCACAGGTTTCCCAGGTTGCCCCGGAGGTTCTGTAACAAAGAGAAGTTATATGACAATATGACAAAGCTCAATCTTTTGTTCCTGTATTGACTTATTTGCACATACGGAATTACAGGAATGCCTTCATGAGTCTTTTCGTTGAACATGACTAGAATGCTGTTGAACTTTACACACATATGATATTATTAAAGAAATACGTCGAGTGTCAGTAGCATGGCACTTAACTATTTACACCCTAATGTTAATATTCACATTCCTCACACTGTTCTCTCTACATTTTCTATGGTAATGAAAAGGAGAATTTATTTAACAATCAGGAGCTTCTTAAATTGGTGATCATTTCCTCAATTCGCATGATCTTTACATTTGATTCAAGGGTGAGACTGTAAGGAGAAACTAGAAGCCAATAACTCTCAGGAGTTAATAAATCATGGTCTGAGGGAGTAAAAATTTTATCTGTGTCATTCCGGCAGGGCGAATGAACACTCACCAGCAGGCCCCTTTGTTTTTGCAAGAAACTCATTTGGCGGTCCGTAACCCATGGAATTTCTCGCACGGAGCTGAAATGAGTAACTCGTCAACATCGCCAGCCCGGTTACTTTCATCGTTTCTCTTTTACCGTCAACAACTATCTTCTCCCGGTCGCTGTTGGGGGTTAATTCCGCTGTCCTGCCATAGCTGATCTCGTACTCAAGAATTTCTCCATTCGGTTCACAAGGTGGTTTCCAGTAAAGGTCTACGCGGACATTATAGACCGCGTCGGCACGGAAAACGGCTGGGGGCTCGGGTCCTAGTTGGGCGGAGGTAAAATAAGATTAGAAGTAATGCAAAGAATAAAGATCCATTTGTGATGGGTTACATAGAGAGTACACATTATCTCCAAAATTCAGTTCTGGCAATAATAGTTCGAGGACAGAATTTTGCTTGCTATTTTAGAGAGAGGTGGAGGAGTGGGGGGGGGGGGGGGGGGGGGGGGGGGGGGGGGGGGGGTTAGGCGAGTGAAAAGGTTCGGAACAAATATCAATCAAAGACAAACAATATTCTCCTCAATATATCGTGCAAAGTTAACACTTACTGTCCTCATGTGTTGTGACCTCCAGCGACGTACTTGGCGGACTCTCTCCTTTGGAATTATACGCTCGCACCCAGATTCTATACTTAACATATTTCCGAAGGTTAGTGATGTTGACGTTGTTCAGGTGAGGAGGGACGAACAGCAGCTTGGGTCCAGGTTCTCGCGGACATACTCCAGCCTCCAAAGATCGTCTCCTTCTGCGGCGTCCTTGAGTCAGAGAGAGGTCTTGCACATAAACCTACAATCAGAAAGAAATATGGAGATTAAAAATATTTGCATTCCTGAGACAATTGACAAAAGAACACTGCAGTAAGTTTCGTAAGTCACGCAACACGCGTTACTGACCTTGTATCCCATAAGATGTCCATTGAAGGAAGCTGAAGAGGGTGCGATCCACCTGACTCCAATGGATGTTCTTGTCACTGTCCCCTTTGTTAAATCCTTAGGAGCTTCCGAAGGAGCTACACATCAAGACAGAAGAGCCACACAATAATAACATTATTTCATACTTATTGTGATTTACACATAGTTCGGCCAATCAGCGACACCGAGGATGGTACGTTGCGCAGCATCAACAAACTCACTCGTCCGCTGCGCTCACTCGTTCGTTTTTTGATGCATTGCGATTCGTGAATAGAAATCGTTCGTGCGCACTTTTCATGGAATAATCTCTCTTACTTAGGTACAGACGTCTTGGCAATCGCTTTGATATCCTTATCATTTCTTGGCATAATGTTATTATAGTTAGTAGCGTTAGTATTGCAAGCAATGTTGCTATTGTGAAAATGCCGATATTATAAGAAATACTTGTATCGTTAGTGATAATAGCTCTGGCAAAAATTTACGATTTCTGCCGGTACATCCAGGGCTACGGTTGACCTCTCCTATATCAACTTTTCAAATTTTCTGTAAAGATAACTCATGGTTCAATTCCCGTTGTTTTCCCTTGTTTTTGATCGTGGCACATATTCTATCTGCTATCAAATCATACAGAGCACGATTGTCCTGGAATTCTTCAAGCGTCAAACGCTGGCAGAATAAATATCATGTTTCTCAGCGACCCCAACCCTAACCCTACAGGTTCGACTAGAAGTCTGCATTAGTCTCACTCGACAATGAAGAAAATAAAGAGAAATCGGCCCTTGCAAAGTATGATTCTGTTAAACAAAATAAATCCAAAAATGTTTACATCTAACATCGCACTTACGTTTCTCTCCGGTTGTCACTCTGTAAAGAGGGGAATAGGGCCCAGGTCCCTTCTCGTTCACAGCCGCCACTTTGATTTCGTAGACCGTGAAAACTTTCAAGCGTTCTAATTTATGGTTACGAGAGTTGGCGTCCAAGGAAACCTCGCTAAACACACTGCCAGCGGCACTCCTTTCTCTGTGTTTTAAAATGAACCCCTGTAGAGTTCCACCCAGCTCTTGTGGAAGTGGAGCCTTTAAATTTGGATAAAAGTCAAGAAGTAAGGAATTGTTTCGTGACATAAAAATGCGAAAATGACGAGCACAAAAGAGACCCCAAGTTTTACAGATGGTGTAAATCTTAAATGAAAGAAAAATAAGCCCACCTTCCTAGAAGATCCTATGTCAAGTTCAATATTCCACCCTTCCACCTTCTCTTTAGAAGTTCAAGTTGACAATTTTAGGCTTAGGCAAAAAAGTCTTTTAAACACCACAATTTCTTCTTAAACTTGTAACAGACAACCTTCTTCACTTTCTGTTTTAATATTGGAGGTTTTATTCAATGAAAGGAAAGCATACCGCATAAGTAATTAATCTAAACCGGCTTCAGTCGAGATGAAAAATCAAGTCTCGCATTTTGACGCCCAAGCACTGAAAAATGACACAAAAAGAGGCCACTTACCGCCCATTTAATGTCGAGTGACGTGGGATATGACGTCACTGTGATATTGCGTGGAGCCCCAGTCGGCACTACAACACGATTTAAAAACAAACAGCATATTAAATGACAGTCAAGCTGAAAGATTCTTACGAACTTCAAAGTTGTATCAGTTCTACGCAGCATTATTCCCAGCTCGTTTTCCGCACTTGTCAAGGAGTAACTATTTGCTCTTTACATGACCAAAGGCAAACCTGTCGATAGCTCTCATAAATGAAAAACTTCCTTGAGAAGAATTTTCCCTAGCACCTTTTACAGTCTCCCAGGAAGGAAGTTACGTAAAAAAATAATAATAACAGAAATACACAAACAAATGAAAAAGTGTCTTTGATGAGGAATGTCCTGTCCCCAAGTAAATTCCGCCGCCAACAAATTTTCCCTGACAACCCTCGTTGTCCAAAAGCTGGCACGTCAGTTTACAGAGAAGAAGACTTGCCAAGCAAAACCTTTTGGCACAAGTACTATTTACATTTCTAGCATAACACGTTACACTTACACGCAAGACGAGTTGTAACAGAAGAGGACGCCGCACTGTACGGACTGTTTCCCTTGTCGTTTGTGGCCATAATTCTGAACGTGTATGACTCCCCAGGAAAAAGTCCCTCCACTTTAAGTTTCCGGAGATCGTGGAGAACGTTTGCCGAGTACACCTGCCAGCCCTCGTCATTCTTGTTCAGCTGCAGGGTGAAGTACCTCAAGGGGCTCTTTGCATCTGATGTGGCTTGCCACTTTACGATTATCCATCGTTCGCCGATGTCCGAGAAATAGACCGGCAAAATGTATGGTGCATCAGGAGGTTCTGTTAAGTAAGGAAAACGTTATATTTCGAAGCATGAGAAAGAGGTTCCGGTGGAGGCCAAAAACTTATTTTTTTTGGTCTGTTTGTTAGTTTGTTTGTTTTCACCGATAAAAGAGGACACCCTTGGGCCAAATAGACATGGCGTAACCTTGCCAACTCGGAACTTTCTGTTCACGGATTGATGCCTGAAGAAAGGGCACAATCTCTTAAATGAGCAAAGGAGAGTCTGTGTCCCATAAGAGGTGTTGGTGATTGATGTATACGCGACGCAGCGACCTGCATGACCTGAACTCTAGGTCGAGAGGTCTGGGTTCGAGTCCTGGTGAGTCATTGTGTTGTGTTTTTGGGCGAAACACTTTATTCTCAATTTACCTCGCTCTACCGAGGATTGTAATTAAGTGGAGGCAAACTGTCAGGGGAACCTAGCAAAATGCTAGCCGACCAGCATCATTGTCCTAACTAGGGGGGAAATGGCAACGAACTAAATCTTTGAAATAAAGTATCACCTCTGGCGGTATGAGCCACTTATAGAAGGTAAAGGTAACGTCTGTACTCCCCCTGAGAAGGATGCTAGTCCATAGCAAGGTTACCTCCTGGCTGGAGAGTCACTGTGAGAGTGAAGTGTGTTTCCCAAAAACACAAATCACTGACCCGGCCCAGGTCTTAAACGCGGATCTTTTGACCTGGACTCCAGCGCACTAGACATAGGGTAACGTCCCTACACTAGTAGGTGAATCACTAGAATATACAAACCTGTTGAACCTCCAGTATAAACAACTGCTTCCGCTGGTTTTTCGCTTTGACTTGTGTTAGTCAAAGCCCAAAGGTAAAAGCGATAAAACGACTGAGGATTCAAAGGGCCAGCAGTCCTCCTGAGATCGTTTCTTCCCATGGTGCTTTGCCACACATAGGGGTCAGACGCAGATGACGTATTTAGACGACATTCTGCCCTGTATCCTTGGATGACGCCGCGCGGGTACACTGGTGGGTCCCACGCTATCGTCACGGTCTCTCGACTGACGGATGTAAAACGGACACGAGAAGGGGGACCTGGACCTGAAAATGAAATAGCAAAACAGGTTACTTCGAGCTGCCTAGGATGAGAGCTAGCAACTGACCATGTCCGAATTTAAAAAAAAAGGAAAAACCATCTAGGACGAATTTCTTGTCAGGACACTCTACTCTTGCTGTCGCTCATCTCATAAAAAGCACGTCTTTCGCTCAAGACTTATGCAACAAGTTAACAAATCACGTGGACAAGATCCAACCGCGTAAGATCGTGTCACTCCCTACGTACAACATTTTCCTTAAAACGACACGATTTTCTCTTTGAGGAATTTTACACTTTAAGAGTTCTCCACCTCTCCAATATTCATTTGCGATCCTAAGGTGATTTACAAGTTTTTACCAAATTATATTGTTATATGCACTTGGGTAACTCCTGTTTGTTGTAGAGAGCCGGACTGTCGTGCGGGAGATTGAGGGCTCAAGCTTCAGACAAGACCAATACTCCGAGCCTTAAAAAATAACGGAAGGAGAGAGTGCTGCCTTTGCTATGACATCGCAAACAGTAAGACGTTCTAGTCTTCACGGATAAGGACAATAAAACATAGGCTCCGTCTCCTGCATCTCCTCTGTGCTGGTTAGCAGGGGGACGTTAAAGAACCCACGCACTTCTTGCAAAGAGTAGGGAACGTATCTTCTCATGTTGTAGTCTGGCCTTGTTTTGCCTACGCAGGCCCTCATTTAAACCAGTTTTAAAGCTGACTTGAGCCAGCCTGTCTTAACATCGCAAACAAATAAAACAAATATGCGCTTTCTTCTGCAGTCAGCATAACCACTTTGATCTAAAATCGTTGCTCTTCTATCAACTTATCAAACACCTACCAAGTACAAAAGCGTTTATCTGGTAATTTAACTTACTGGATGATAGAGTGGTGGCTCTAACTGCAGCGCTTTTTGGTCCATTTCCAATTCTTGTGTACGCAAGGATTTGGAATTCATAAGTGACAAAGCTCTCCAGTCCCGTCAGGGAGGTAGAGTACACGAGACCATTGAGGAGTTCCTTCTCTTTCTCCGTGTTTTGCTTCCCAAAAATACGGTAGTATATCTAAGAGGACATAAAAAAACGATCTCTATTTTTTGTACAAAACAGTCACTTGAAGAATTCCCAGGATACTAGAAACCCTTCCCAGATTGCAGAAAATAAAATGACCTGTACATTTTTAAAGACCACTTCACACAAACACACTGAGTTAGTATCAAATAACATCGCTTATTACGTGTTCCTGTTGATGAGGTAGTATAAAAAATCCGCCATTTTATCATTCAGGTACTTTCAATTATGGGCATACACTTAAAAATTCAAGATGACGTTTTTAAGTATTTGACATGCGCAGACTCGGAAAAACAAAATGAAAAAGATAAATATTAAGAGGCTTAAATTTACGGAAGAACTGCCAGGTATTTACTGCACCTTGTAACCAAGAATTACACCATTTTGTCCCACATACGGTACAGGTTCCCATTTGAGCGTAACAAATGTGGCACCTGTTACTTCTGGCTTAAGACTAGTTGGCGCTGAGGACGGAGCTGAAACAAAAAGATGAAGAATTTAACCCATGACACTCGGTATCCATATTCAGCACAACACCTTTAAAACAGATATGTCAAGCAAACAAGAAATCTTAAAGAAAGATGTTTTTCCTCCTTATCATATGCGTGGGTCAAAGAGAAAATTCCCCTTGAGGAATCGAACCTCAGACCTTCGAATTCCGCGCTCCGATGCTCTACCACTGAGCCACAGAGACTCTATGGTGAGCAAGACTATTACGAAGTTCATATATGACACGTCCTGCATACTTCTTGGATCAGCACTGTCGATAGCGTGTTTGCAAATAGAATATGAAACATGGTTAATTTTGAGCTCGGTGAAGAAATATATATTCGTGAATTGACCCTCGTGAAAAGACGAAGAAACATCTTTCTCTATTTCTTCACCGAGCTCAAAATTTACCATCTCTCTTTTTCTATTCACCAGAAATCATAAATTCTACACAATCGGTCTCACCATCTTCTTGCGTCCAAGCCCAAGCCACCGCACTGCCATTGCTAGCTCCTTTACCATTTAGATTGTAGGACCTTACGGAGACCTTATAACGTTTGTGTCTCAAAAGGCCTCCCGCTCTGTAGTAGTTTAATTGACTGCTTGGAAATTTATTTTCAAATGCGAAACTGGGAACTCCTTCCGGCTCAAATCGCAGTATGAATCCTATAAAGTCGCTATTCCAAGTGTCTTGGGGTGGAATCTGAAAGATGTGAGTAGATATTGTGGGATTCTCAAAGCTCTGTTCAGTCAAATAAATTGTTGATTACTCTCCAAAAAACAAAACAAAATCACCTCAAAGGATCACTTTTAAACTTACCTTCCATCTTAGTTCCAGTCCATCCTTCCCGAGTGGAAGCAAAGTCAAATTGCTTGGGGGAAGGGAGGGTGCTGTGGAGATAAAAAAAAACCTGGCTTCAGTTGAAAGACTGGTAAAAGTTAAGACTACGAAAAAATTAAATTGAGAGCAGCAATGCAACAGCTGATGTGTCAAAAAGGAAACCAGAATTTTACAATATAAGCGAAAATTTAATGAAGAATGAAGGTAAAAACATTGCTATCAACAAGATTCGAGTGCATCAACCTTCCTGGCAAACTTCGAATGTGTTCTTAAAGCTAAATGTAAGCTATACAATGTGCTTATTTAAGCCATTTATTAAGCTTCTTAGAGGTGCAGTTAGGGCAAAGCCTGTGTTAGTGCATGTATGGACGGAAACAACCTTGGTTGCTCAAGTATGGAAATAAGTCAATTTTAGTTTTAGGAAAAGCAAGAGATATGAGACCGTCGAGTTCTTTACCAGTTTCCTGCGTTCTGATTGTATCCGTTGGGGCACTGGGGCTGCTGCTTCCCACTTTGTTCGTGGCAGTGACTCGGAATCTGTAGTCTCTGTACGGTTTCAGATGAGGTAGCTCAAGAGGAAGCAAATTCCATACGAGATGAGCGTCACGAACAATCATCAGTGTCTTCCAGCTTGACGACGCTGGGTCATAGTAGGTGTCGTTGTTGTACTGTATGATGTAGGTCAGTATAGGGGCTCTACCAGATGATCCAGGGGTAAAATCTAATACCACCGAACGGGCCCTCACTTCTATGACCTTTAGGTTTTGTGGTGCACCAGGTTTGACTGCAAGAGAATATTTTGTCCATACGTTTTAGTCCAGTATATTAATGCTCAAACTCTCAGTGAAAAAAAATTAAGGTCTATTCCCCCCAGATGGCCAGCATTAAGTTACTTTGCCCTCTCAGTTTGTGTTATCTACTCATTACACTCTGTAAAACAGCTGACGCTCAAAATTCAGGACTCTACGCCGCAACATATTCAATAACTAAAGCCTGGTATTTTTCTTCACAAGATACCCTGAGGCATGTTTGTTAAGCCGTAAGAAAGTAAAATAAACAACATTATAATTATCTTCCATTATAATTATCTTTTTGATAGCTTTTGCTCACCGGGAGATTCCGTAGTTTTCGCCACCAGTCTCTTACTCGTGCTAGCCCCTACTCGGGTCTCAGCGGACACCTCGACAACATACGCAGTATTGGCTCCTAATCCTGTCACTGTGTGTGATAAGGTGACGTTTGAGAGACGCGTCGTTTGACCGCTGCTTGGGAGTGAGTCATTTCGCCAGTGTTTTACCAAATACGCAGTAAGAATACCATTCAGTCGTAGAGGTGGGTCCCAGCTCACTCTCAAAGCGTCCGCGTAGACCTCGGAGATTGTGAACGACCGAGGCGCGTCTGGAACTGTGGAAGGATAAAATAATTATCAATTGTTGCCATGTTTATACAAAATGCTATAAGCACTAACAGCCAGTATCTCTCAATCAAACACGCAATATATTGTCTTCATCTCAATAAATGTTTCAAACATTAAGTGAACGTACCTCCTTCCTCGGTCTTGATAAGTTTAGTATCAGACCTCGGACTGTCTCCTGCGCCATTGTAGGCTACTATAGCTATAGTGTACTGAGTGAATTTTTCCAGTCCGCCCAGGATTCCCTTCTGAATAGCTGCCGTGTCGTCATGATCAGCTACCCGCTGGTAGATATTGCTGGGTGTGCTTCCCTTCCACGCTTGGAGCTGTGGGACAAAAAAAAAGTACATGCAGAAAGGGTGTAAGATCGGGCCCCTCGATGAACGAAAGATAGAAAGAAACTTGAAATATTTGCTAAGTTACAGAGATCTCGTTTTGTGTTACGCCATACACCAGTGGAAATTGGCAAATGTTCTGCCCACTGAGAACGCAAAATACCTTGTATCCTTTTATTCTTCCATTTTGTTGCTTTTGAGGTGGAGGTTTCCATTCTAAATATACACTGACTGTGGTAATGTTAATCACTTTCACTTCCTGTGGTGGAGCTGTTGGTACTGCAACAACATGTAATAGAGTAATTAGCAAATGCAGCCAAATTACAACTAGTCAGGTGGGTGAAAGCGTTCGAATCCATTTTAGAAAGGTCCCTTTTTTTTCGGCAATTTTGGCTAATTTTGAAATGAAGGCCATAAGAATGGTGAATGTAATTTAGGCATTAGCTGATCTGAACAGACAGTGCTATGAAATCACAGAATTCCTTTTAAAAACAGAACGGTCTCGCCAGCCAGTTCTGATGTTTGCAAATCTCTGCACCAAATATATATATAACTATCATAATGCAGAGTTGGAAATGCTATTCACTGGACGAGAAAGTTCTAACAGATGCGAACACGTAAGAACGGTCAGAATCAAAAGCCATGTAGAACTTACGCCCTTCTGCTGTGGTGACTGTGATTGGTTGACTGTACACCCCGTCTCCTGCGTCATTGTAAGCCCGCACTTTAATCTCGTACGCAGTCCACTGCAGAAGTCCGTCGATGCTGCCCTGAGTAGCAGATGAAATTGCAATCTTTCTTATAATGAAGGTACTCGCTGAAACGCCAGCTAGACGGTAAGCGATTTTGAAACCACGCAACGGACCATTGTGTGTTTCAGGAGGAGGAATCTGAAAACGGAAATTAAAATAATGAAATTTTTAATGAAAATTGTACAAGCTGTAAATAAAAAGTTCAGTTAAAAAGACGAATATTTTTTTAAGTATGCAAATAGGCTGAAGACACTCACTTGCCACTGCACGAGTATAGAATCAGCGCTTGTTGGAGCTCCACTGACGCTTTGTGGAGCTGCAGACGGCGCTGAAAGAAAGATGGGAGAGATCTTGGTTTACAAAAGTTCTGATCTTTCCTTGTGATTACCATGACAATAGGGTGAAGTCGGTAAATCGAGCAGCTTTTGTATAATTTTCACGGCTTACGTTTAACTGTCAAAATTGAAGAAACCATCAGATCCAAAGGATGGTATCCCCAAAACAAAGAAGAAAGAACCGGCCATATTCTGTTACCTGATATCAGTGTCCTTATCACTCCGGACGCGCCACTGGGTGCACCATCTCCGACTTGATTGACAGCTCTCACGCGGAATTGGTACTGAGTATGCGGCGAAAGATTACGGACAATGACTGACATCTGTCTATCAGAAGGATTGATGTCATCCCTGGCAAGTTGCCAGTTGTTGGAGCCCTTCTTGGCTTCGATTTTGTAAGATGTGATGGGGCTGTTCCCACTATAATCCGGTGGAAACCACGATAAGCGAACTGAAGTCGTCTTGATGTCACTTACCACTGGGGTAGTGGGTGCGAGCGGTATTTCTAGAAAATACAGAAATTCTGTGAGCATTTTTTAGCGGGAAAACATAGCTCCTCGGGATGAAATTGCTTTCAAGCAGTTCCCCATAAACAAAACGGGAATACTTTGAGGAATACGTACAAAATCGTGATGAATGGCAATTAATTTTTTTGACGACCAAAGAGATGTTCTAAATAAACTAATTCAGCGTATGGTGCCCTTGGAATAAACGTGAAGGGGAAATTGTGCGTTGATCGATGATCAGGAACTCTCATGGCTCAACCAGCTTACGACATGATACATTTCCCTCTATTAGCTTTTGCATTCGCAAATGAAGATAATTTAGGCATGTTGAGAGCATAAAAGTGAGCCAAGGAAAAAGGATAAAACAATGCGAGGAAAAATAACTCAGCTTCTCAATTTCTTTTCCTGAGTTATAATCAAAACAAGAGAAAACGATGGAAAGTTACCGAGAACGCTCAACTGTCCTGTAGTGCTGGCGTTTCCCGCCTCAGACTGTACCAAACACGTGTACGACCCAGCATCCCCCTGCTGCACAGTGAGTATGCGTAGTGTTCCATCACTTTGAACCTTCATCCGGGATACATCGACTGCAGATCCATCTTTGGTCCAAATCCACTTGACTGATATATCCGGGTCTTTTTGGACCCCACACGGAAGAGGTTTATCAATTCCTTTGATAGCGTCTATTTGACTTGGTAACGGATTGACGATCACAGTTTTGACTGCAATAAACAAACAGAAGTAGTTTTCATTGGATTGTTAAAACAGAAAGATTGCTGCAAAACTTTTCAACGATCGTAGCAATCATGAAATACATATTAAGATTAAACTTACTTAACACTCTAAGAGAAGCGTTTGCCCTCTTGGAGCCAATGCTGTTGGTTGCTATACACGTGTATTTTCCACTGTCACTCTTCTGACTTCTGCTAATCTGCAGTGAACCAGAAGACTTCTGAAAGTATCGAGGATTATTGGCAAAGTTGATGTTTTGGTCATTTTTCTGCCAGGTTATTGTTGGCGATGGATTTCCACGGCCTACACATTCTAACTCCACTGTGTCATTAACCACAGCGTCTGTGTTCTTTGGTGGAACATCTATCCATACAGGTAATTCTGCAAAATACAACGCATTTAAAAATATTAACTGAATCCCAATCATCAGTTATTAAATAACTTTCCCCAACAGTCGCAACTTACATCGTTCCCCTTGGCCATGGTATCAGACATGGGCGAATTGCTGCGCCGACTAGATGCCACAACCCAACCCCCACAGTAATCAGACAGAGACAATAACAGCAAAATCGTCAGCACGGATACTTCAGTCATAGCTCCACTCTTATACAACTGGGTAGAGGATGACTCGCAGCGAAAACCCAAGTTGCTTAGCGTAAGCTGAACTTCAATATGTGGTGGCTTATCAGTTACTTTTTAAATCTAGCAGTCTGACCAGCGAGCTTTACGCAGGCCTTAGAAATCATGAGAGCTTGGATAACAGTCCTGGGCCTAATTATTCAAAGGATGGATAGCGCTATCCGACGGATAAATTGCTATGCAACGGATAAATCGCTATCCAGCGGATAGGTGTTCACAAAACGTTCTGCCATATCCAACGGATAGAGATTAATCCAGTGTCGGGATAGGCAGCGTTATTTTCCACCCTTGGATAACCTGGTTGATTTTTTCTTATAAAGGTCTATCACAGGAAAACACCCGATACACTTCTCACCTTTTACACGCAACAAAGCTCTGCTTAGTATCTCGCCAGCATCGTTGGTTGCCGCGCACTGAACACTTCCTTTGTCACCCGATTGAAGACTTATAAATGTCAGGTCATTTTTACTGTTTATCTGGATCCTTCCCGTGGTCGAAGGTGGAACTTTTTGACCATTGTGAAACCAAGTAATCTCTGGTGTTGGAGTGCCAGTCGCACTGCATTTAAAAGTCACTGATTCTTGAGGATACTTATCCGCCATCGTTGGGGTGACTGTAAACGTTGGCATTACTACCAAAGAAACGAAATGAATTTTTGTATTTAATATATTAAAAACTGATGAGAATCCAATTGAACAAGTTTCAATTGACTGCCAAGAGAAATACGCACTAGCGTTGGTTTTGATTTACGATGGTCTCTGATTGGTCAAACAAAAACTCTTTCCACCCTCTCAACCAATCAGATACAAAACTAAATCTAAAAGTGACTTGGTCACTCTGAATTCCAATAGGCTCCTTAAAACATTTTCTCTTTGTTCTGGTTGGCTGTTGCGGTCAGTCTGGTTGAGATTTTAGCCTTATAACACTCAGGCCAATAAACTCTAATAGTTACATTTTAGTAAATAAAAAATAAAATTGAACTGCATTTTTTGCATGCTTACCAATTATTGTCAAGTTTGCACTCTTGGTTTTAAAGACATTTTTGCTGTTGGTTACTCGACATTCGTAGACTCCTTCATCAGATACAGCTGGATTGTGAACAGTGAGTCTCTTCTTGAACGTGTCAAAAGAAAATTTTGCACTCTGAGAAATCACTTGCCCTGCCTTTCTCCAGGATATCGAGGGCATAGGACTGAAGTATAAACAGCAAATAAAATACACAATAACATTATTTTAAAAATGCAGAAAAAAGCAATTCAAAATTGAAGAAAAGACACTAAGACAATAAGTAGTGGACCTCATTTCTTGAAGTCAGTCAATGTCAACTACTTGTATCTCCAGTTCCCAAAATTTAAATCAACTCTAGTTTTAACTCTTTAACTCTCACATGTGATTAACAAGTAACTTCTCCCCATAATGTTTCTTCATCATCCAGCAAACAGGTAATGAGAATACTCCAACTTATCAGGTAGAAGTTGTTATCTTAATCTAAAACAAAATTCTCATAATTGATATACTGGAAAATGGCTGGCACCTGGAGGGGAGAATTAACAATTGATCTTGGGAGCAATAGGGTTTAGTAAGCTCTGGAGCCATTCTGGAAATTTCTGTTCGATAGGTTTGCCTATCATAAACATTAAATTAGACATAAAATCTTCACCTTCCACTTGCAAAGCACTCAAATGTAACACTGTTTGTCTTTCCCACTGTAGCTCTCTGATTTGTGGGGCCAAGAATGATATATGGTGTATCAGGTATGTTTCCCCTTGCTGAAAAAAATATATTATATGTTATTGGTTATATATTATCAGAAGTAGTAAAATATTTTTCTCTTTCATAGCTGAAAATTTGCCATCTTTCATACTTTAGTTTCTGATATTTTTCTGTTTCCCTCATTTTGAAGGTGATTACCTTACTTTTTCAAAAATAGGACTTGAAATAACATAACATCTAATTCAAGTCATTAAACATTTTGTCATGAATTATATAAACCCATTAACCCTTTGTATTGGTGACTCCCATGAGTGACTAACACAGAATTTCTCGTTACAATATCAAGCAGGAAAGTAATGAGAATAAAGAAAAATATCTATTGAGGATTTCTTAGTTGATCCAATACCAAATTCTTTAAACTACACCATAAGAATTGTGTGGCAGAGAGTAAGGAGAATCACTAAGTAAATGATGGGGGTGAAAGAGTCAAAAGGGTCCAAATTTCTCTGGTGAGAGACAAAACATTTTCATCTGAAACCTAATTGAAACATGTGTGTATCATTCACAAGATTACTCACCTGTCACACTCACTGTTAGCGGACCTCTACTAAATGACTGGCCTCCATTCTGAACCCTCGAGTAGTAGTTACCTACATCATTTACTTCCACATTTCCAATATAAATGTTTCCTTCAGTAGAAAAACTGATGCGTTGTGTCTCAGACATAGAGCTGCCACTTTTAGTCCACGTAATTGTAGGCTTTGGAAAACTTTTTATAACAGGGTATTCATAGGTGAATTCACCCCCCTGCAGTACTCTGAGACTTACACTGGTATCAACATTTGGTGTTTTTTCTAGAACTGTTAGGAAGAGAAATTGAAAATCAAAAGTTTATGACAGAAGTGAAGCAATCAAACAAAACTGAGTCAAATCAAGGGAAATTAGATAAGAACTCTAGAGCTCTGATCTACAATTATTGTAATTTTGGAAATATGTTGTTTGAAAGGTAAATGAATAAAGAGGGTAACTATAAAATTTCTAAAAAAATTGCAGAATTACACTGGTGGGGTGATTTACATGATAACTTGATTTTAATAACTGAGTTGATAAATAAATATAAATTGGTCATCATAACAAATAAGTTTCTAAAGCTGATGTTGCAATCATTAGCTTCATCAGAGCAAAGGCAGTGACACACAGCCATTTCCTCTTCAGGTCGACAGCATGCCTTCACCCTTTAACTCCCATGAGTGACCAAGACAGAATTTCTCCTTACAAAAATCAATACAACATCAACCAGACAAGTACTGAGAGTAAATAAGAGAACTATCAATTTGGAGATAATTAGTTGATCTAATACTAAATTCTCTGAACTAACATTATAAGAATTGTATGGTTGACAGTAAGGAGAATTACAAATTTGATCTGGGAGTTAAAGGGTTAACAAACTAAACACACATACTTCATAAATCTACAGTAAGTTGTAATAATTAAGCCACTTACATGAAACTTGGATTTTTAATCTTGTTGATCTTGTTTTTCCAGCTGGATTCCTTGCTACACAATAGTAATAACCATCATCTAGAGTATGATTCAGACTGTTTATAACAAGCTGACCTGTGCTTGGTTGCTGACTGTGTCTAGCTGATGAAACATCCTTGGCATTACCCTCAAAATCTGTTGCAAACCACTGGTAGGTAAGGGGTGTGTTGCCTGTAGCTGAACAATGAAGTGTCACCCTGCCCCCTTCATAAAAGCTCACAGGAGTTTTTGTCACACTGGAAATGGTTGGAGGGATTTCTGAAGGAAGACAAAAAATATTCATTTGTTGTAGTATTTCATCAGAGAGAATCGATGAGACAAGTAAATTTACAAATTTTAATAGCACAAAAATGTTCCAAACATCACTAGAAAACATGAAAATACCTATAGCAAAACCCTTCAAATTTGATCCCCTATCTTGTGTACTAAATATTCTTCTGCTGATTCCTAAGACGTGGCAGCTTGACAAAATGTTCATCTCATCAGCTATTTTTCAGAACTTTTTTTCACTTGTCTTTGCAATTTTTGACGTACCCTTATAGCTGAAACAGAATGTATTCTTAAAAGTTTTGAGAAAACTGAATAAAATAAATTACATGCTAGAGTGCATTTATCTCTTATGATAACAATGCCTAGACCTACGCAATAATAAATGGACACACGACTGAATCCTGTCAGAGAATAACCGGTGACACAATTTTGCTAATTCTTTCAGCAAGTATTTATAAGCAATGTTAATAAAACTGATTTGAATTTAAAGAGGGTGCAGAACATAATGTGAGTCAGCTAAACATGCATCTGACCACAAAGAATGACTGTTATGCATGATTTTCTCTCAGTTTGGCTAACTATAAAGATATATTGCAGAACTATGACATAATCATGTTTTCGTTTCCAACATTCCCATATCTTTCACAAAAAGATCTTTTAATAATGATATTATTTCAACTTGTTGTAACTAAATATCACATTTATTTTAAACTTTAGAACTGGAAAGATAATTGAGCTTCATTGACCTCTAGATATCCTCTTAAACTCTTCACTAAGGGAAGTGTTTCTCATACCAATTTATTGACGTGCATGTTACTCAGCACTTATGGAAGTCGGCAACAATCTGTATCACACGCGATTCCCATTGACACAAAAACTTTAGTTAAATCAAAAGAAGTCAATATACTGTAGTCTTCAAAAGACACCTTACCAATTGATAGACTGTTATAAAAATTACAGTAAGATGAAAAAGATTGAAAGAGTCCCTGTTAGACAAAGCATGACTACAAATTATCAGATATTAGTTAGTCAAGGATCTGTAGCTTACAAGCTACAAAGGGTTTGTAACCATACACTTCAAGGTTTTAGACCATGAAAAGCCACTTACATTAACTATAACATGTTCAAATAACTGACTACAGCCAAAAAACAGGGAGAAAATTATTTAATAAGTAATATCACGCCTTTAATTAACAGAACCAACCCATCATTGCACACAAGATAAATTGGTTTATGAACTAAATTGATAAATGTAAATTGGCCACGTCAAGATCTTCTAGAGCTGACGCTTTGAGTGTCAGCCCTTTGTCAGAGTGATTTTACCAATAGATTATTTTAACCAGGCAAATTTTTCTAAACAATTCAGTCTGGACTTGGCTTCTTCCACAAATCTTAAAGTCCAGACGAAAATAAGCAAGCATGTTAATTAATAATTTTGTCACAAGACAAAATCAATTAATTAGGCTTGGAGTGAATTTTTTCACATTTCATCTTTAAAATTAAGCAATCCACACTTAATAAAACAACAAAAAATTATTATTTTAACTAATATTTGATTCGCAACTGAACTGCGTGTACTTCACGGAGTATGCATATTAACAAAGAAATATCAGGGATGCTAATTTGAAAATTTTAAAAGGATCAGTAAACAAACTATTTTACATCTTTGTAAGGTACAAAATCTTGAAAATATCTTAATGACTTCACAGAAAGCTCCTCACAAATAGAAGAGAACCAAGCCGAACCGTTTCCACGTTGTGTAACTGGCATCCAAGACAGACTGGTCTGATAAAGATCTGCATGTACTTTTTATATTTTGTTCATTTTGAGATTGAAGTGCCAGGCAGAGAGGCAAATATTTTATTAAGAAAGTCAGGCTTTATTTCTGCTTTTTCTCTCATGACGATATCTAAGAAGGGTCCCTTTGAGTCTCTTTGTGACCTGATTAAACTGCACTAGTTCCCGACGATATACAGTTCATGCACATATCCTCCATCACAAACACAGACAACAATAGTTGTGCGATTATAAATTTTGTTATTGTGTAGCTGCGTTAAAATCAGCCCTAAAATTGACACCTTTAAAATAGAAACCAACATTTCTCGTCTTTCTTACTCCGTCTGATGTCTGAAGCGCAAGAAAACATCACGCGATATCATGAGGTGTCAGAAGGAATATTTTGTGCAGCAGCTGTAGTGGCAACTACAAGGGGTAACAATGCACATAACCGCTACTATTAGCCACAATTCATTAGACACAAATTCTTTTTAGAAAATTCGTAAATCTTCTTAAGGAGGATTACTTTCTCAGACCAGATATTATATAAATACATCAAGAAACGTGGGCGAGCATAACTTCGTAGCTACACTGTATTTTTTAGCAAAAAGACGAACTCCTTGAATATATTTAAATTTCAATTAACCTCCAACTGTTACGGATAGAACAAGAGATTTTCGAGCTGAGGTTGAAAAACCGAGGCCTTTAAGAGTTTTTAAAGGCCAAAATTTGATGAAAACGCCATCTCAGTGGTAAGCTTACTAGTAACTTCAAAATTCGATCGCGTTAATATCTGTAATGAGGTTTGTTTCCACCGCGAAGCGAATCACGCGAAGGATTAGTATTGAAGACTTCACTCGCTTTGCGCACAACACCGATCTCTAAAGTCAAAACGACGTCAAAAAAAAAAGGAAATGAAAAAATGGGACAAATAAAAGAGGGCACAGTTTGCTTTTGAATTCTTATGTTTTTTCCAAGTGTCAAACGAACACAGTAATACGACATAGCCATTCAAAAAGTCTCATATCACAAATTATGCAAATACTGCTCTCTGTTATGAGGTTTCATTTGTACTTTCACCTGAACTGTAAAGAAAATGAAGGATGGAAAATTTGACGTCTAAGAACTTATCTATTACCTACATTTTCGCTTTAGGGCGATCGCTAAAAATAATACTTTATTTGATTGCACAGTTGAATGGGGCAAAGAAATGACGCACATATCAACATTAGGTTACCTTAACACCAAGAATTATCTTACCTGCTTTCGCCGCGATCCAACAAAGGAGACACAATAAAAGTCCACTTTGCTCGTGAATCATAGTAATCTTCAATCAATGTAAGGTTGAAAATAAGGTTGCGGAAAGGAGCGTGTTTTCCATCAACAAGAAACAGTGGAAGCAGGCATCGTACTTAATATAGACCAAATGTTTCGAAACCAATTAAGGCTTTCTTCCCGCGTTATCCTTCCGAAAGCACAAAAGTCTCGTAGTTCGCACGAAGAACAAACGCAGTTTTCAACTTTTAGCGAAGTAGAAGTAAAGAGCTATGACTTCTCCTAGATTAACGAAAATAGAAATTTCCACACAGGAGATCAATACAAAAGTTGACAAAGTGCAGTCGATCGATCGATCGTTCCAAGAAATCAAATCGCTTGAGATTCTGAACTGTCAATCGATGATTTGCGATTCTTTCCTGTTAGAGGTCGCTCGTATTGCGGTAATGACACTCAATATAACAATATAGTGGATGTCTACACATTTCGGAAATTTCCGTCTTCCAGAATTATTTTTAAAGAGATTCAAACTTTCAAACGGAAACCACCAACAACACTATGACCCATTCACAAAGCACAACAAAAGCTAGGGGTCACGTGGATTATACTGAGTGTTGGGATTGGTTAATTATTAAAAAATATGATTTCACGGTTTGACGACTTGGAACAATTAAAGGATTATATGACAATCAAAACGCCGAGCTTTTCCATTGTACCTTGGAAAAACAAAATATTTACATTTGAATGGAATAAAACCGTGCATCCAATATATAACACATTAAAAGCATATGATAGCTTATCAAGATATTGAAATTAGGGACTTTAGAGGCGGAATTTCGTGGCAAAGATTGTTATTTTGTTTTAAGAAACTATTAGTGATTGGGGAAATGCCATGTGATGAAAGTACTCCACACGAAGTCAGCCCTATTTCTGATTAATTCGACACTAGACGCGCACGCGAACTGAGCAAGTCGTTAATTACTCTCGCTGACTGCTTCCAGGTGGGCGTACATTTCTCCGTTTGTAAGGACCTCTATTGTTTATGCGATGAGACTTCGGCTTGAGGAATAATTTAGTTGATACAGAAAGCATCAACGGACCCCATACGGAGCCGGCCCCTTTAACCTTTAAATTCTAAGTATAACGTCAGGCACAGTTTATTGTTTTTGCAATTTGTTTCCATCCGCGATAAGAAAATATTCCTGGGAAAAAATCATCAGACCGTTAATTAAGATTGAATTGATTACCTGCAAGACTATTTTTTACAAACAGTTACCTTTCAAAACAAAACTTATGCGTCAGAAAGAAATCAAATTTTTGAGATCGTCTAAGTATGTGAAATGTCAACGACCCGAGGTTGTTTTGGAATCGCGCTCAAGATGAAGGTTTCTTAAAGCAAAGCCGAACAAATCAAATAGGCCCTTTGGAAATGGAGAACAAAGATTCAATAAGTAATTGTGCCCACGGATTGATTCAAAGAAACACCCAGATTAGCATTTTAATCGCTCCCAAGGACGTGCACACTTTGCTTGTATCTCAGTGAAGTGCGACACAAGACTTTTTCTTCTGTTAAGCGTGCCAGCAGTATCAAGGTTTAACAAAAGTTGTGAGAATCTTGATGATAATACGTGCAGACAAAATCAGCCTGGATGTCCGCTTTCGGAATGGTTTCGAAAAATTAGGGAAGCAGATTTGAGCAAACTTGCAAATAAAATCATTTGATAGGTTCCTCTCATGCACCCGGATTCCTCTTCTGGTTCCATTCCAGCGGTTCCAAGGCAAAAAATCGTAAGCCTGGTTTGACTCTTCAACGTCGCGAAGTTTTGCGACGTTTTTCTGACCAGAAAGATTCCCTTGATTTCGGAAACGAACCTCGGTAAACAAGGGTGTTATAGTTAGGGTATAAAAATGTCATGGGTAGTAATTGACCAGAATTTGCCGAAACGAAACCGGAATGGCTAGAGACGACATTGCATTTTTCAAGATGAAATGCTTGAGCTGTTTCATTACCCTCCTTCCATTCCCCAGATCTAATTCTCAATTCTCCGCAGTTTTTTCACGTGAATTCTTAGGGATTTCAGTTCTGGGAATTTGACGTTTCATCAAGTAATGTCCCTTAGCTTATATTTTTCTTCCAAATTCCTTTCTGCTTGAAAACATGTCGATTTTGTGCGAAGAATTGATCACTCCCAGGAGTGAAATACTTACAAGGATGGACAGAATGCCCGAAGCTCATTTTCTATAGTCGAATAAAACCAGCTGCATCCACTGGCCAAGCTCTATCAAAATATAAACAAGACGCCTTGTATCTGTGAATCGATCGAGCCCTTAATCTGGGAGAATACGACCTATTTTCACCATCCTTTTTGCGATATCTTATTCATAGCCGGTTCTGTAGGTAAATCTTAAACATCAGTGACTAAGGTCATTAAGAAAATTTCATTGACACTGTGCTGGGATAAAACAGCATCAACGACAGTGTCTGATCTGTTTTTCTTTTGTTAACTTTTTAAAGGGGGCCGAAATCTGCCTAAGGGGCGTATGAGGGCGAGTAAGTATAGGGATTGGAGCTACCAACTGATTTGTATTGAAAACTGATGAGGTTGTGAAGGAAGAAAACGAAGGATGGAAGTCACCAGGATGTCATTCAATTTCAAAATGAGGCGGATAAAATCGCCTCCTTTAATCTTAGATAGCCAAATCCAAAGAAGTATTTCGTGCTCCCAAACTTTATTTTTCAACAGTACTACCAAGCGATTTCTTAAGGAGTAAGTTATCTAAGTTCCTAAAGAGACTGTAAGCTGTGTCGGTGGAGGATATTATAAGATAGTCAGTAGTCAAATATGGAAAGCGCCCTAAAGTCTGAAGAATAACGAAAATCGTTTAAACTGAAAGAGACTCATAACTGCTCGTTTTGTGTTGTAAGCGGCAGTAGGACTCCCCAGGGATTAAATTGTCAAATCCATTGATCTCAGTTTCCTGTCTTTTCTCTTTACGAATAGCAACGTGACGTGACAAAGAGTAGTGAGACAAACGATAAAATGTTCACGTTTTCTATAACATTCGGGCCATACAGACTATCATATTTTGCGTATTTGATACGCAATATTGTTTTCAAACTGCTTATCACTATCATAAAATTCTCTCGACCTCATTTTCTAAAACCTTTTCCGTCGCTATCCAGCCGTTACAATCTACTCAGTAGTTTTGTCCAGAAGTTACATAACAGGAGATTCCTCCTTATGTTCCATTTTTTCTTCTTTTCATCAGAAACCTGTCAGTATTTTTTACATAAGATTTAGTCTCAGGTCGTCGAGACAAGGAAATCGTCTCAAAGCATGAATCTGACGAAGAATAAGCTTTCCGTCCTATTTAGACAGAGATTAAAATGGAGGTAAGATATGATGACGGTATTCAGTGCCTCGGGAATCTTTATTCATTTATTAATTCAGTTTTTCTTAATTAATTAGTTCACCTTGAGAAAGAGGCTTGAGGTTGGAAATGGCCATCTTATAACAAATCATTTGTTGAGCCACCAAGTTTGATTCGTCTCTCTCGCCTATTCAAGGGCACCTTCAGTAGAAACTATTTATTTAGCCGAAATTGTGGCTGCACTGCTCACAAGGATTGAGAAACCCACAGAAATGTTGTGCTACAGACTAATCATCAGTTCATTCGCTACATTAGTCAATGCTATAACTTCTGCAAAACACGATATCTCTTGTATTTTCCTTTTCAAAACTTGTCAGTATAACTCGATCCTGTCCTCAATTTCGTTCGAAGCCGTTTCGTGTCATCTGCAGTCGACTTCACAAGTTTTCATCCATTATTTAAGCTGAATACCCGCACAAATTAATGGAAGGTAAAACATTGTCGAAATTTTAATAAAACCCGTCTTGCTACAATCTTGAGATGAAAAATATTAAAGCCACCTGTCATTCTTACGAGACATAAAGTGCCTTCTATCTTCTCCCATTTCAATAATTAACTCACGATAATGCGAAACCAATTTTCTGCTTTTTTCTGCTCAGAAAGTAACAAAGTTACGCGTGTTATGCGATTAGCAAGAAATTAACCGTGGCCAGATCTTTCACTAGTGTTTTCACAATCATATTTTACAGTCACCGTTTTATCGCTGTTACCATCATATTTAAAATATCAAAATTTTATAATTATCATATTCAGTTGTATATAAACTTTGATCTACAATTAATAAAAATCACCCAAGTGATTTTTATCTATAACCCAACTCTCTCAATGAGTGTACAACCGTCGGTTCGATATGGAACTTATTTTATCCGCAAAGCAAAACATGTCATCTGACTTAATTGCATCCGAATGGAATTTCTTTCGCGAGATTTATTCTTCACTTTGTGCAATGTCGTGTATACATATCTTGGAATCATAGACATCAAAGGTTGTTTAATTGATGATAACAGAAAATTACTTACGATAGAAAGGGAATAACACCGATTTATTTTGGTGTTGCCGCTGATCAAATCCCTTAAAATCAGTCATGAACTTCAGCCAGGAATAAACCTCTCAATGCAAATGAATCATGAAAGAGCAAGCTAGGGAAAGCCTACAACAAGGGCTAACCCTTTCACTATCAAGATCTCCTTCAATTCTCCTTTATCACCATCACGTATTTCTTATAATGTTCGTTGTGAGAATTTGTTGTTTGGTCAGACAACCTCTGCCGGTGATCGATTTCGCTCTGTTCCGTTCCCCGGCTGCTTGTAACTGTGTTGGTACCGTATGGAAAAATTATGTATCGGTCACTTTTAGAGATGAGGAGGGAAATAAAAAAAGGTTTACTTGGTCAACTGCGTTCACATCCTCTTTTTGTAATTATGAGGCTCGATATCAAGAGAAATTATGTCCCCGGTGTTTTTTCTCCTTTTCATATCTAACAGTGTCGGAGCATCGGTATGTCACCCCGCAGGTAAGTAACAAGAGCTCGCCAGATCTGAAAACGTACTATTCTCTGCAGTACTGGGTCTCATGAGCAATAAACTTTTTAAAACTGGTTCATGGAGAAACTTGAAATTCACTCTAACCGAAGTTATATCCAAGGGTCTTCAAGTTTATCCGTGTACAGCGGTGTCAACATACCACAGAAAATCTTTTTAACTGTTTTTATTTCAAATTATTATCTTATAATATTGCGAAGAAGTTGAAAGAGAGATGAAGAGGGTGTTTCTGGAATTGTTTCAGGTATTATTGAAGATGATTTCCAAAACCTTTCCATCCAAGTTTGCTTTGTTTACAATTCTCTATATGGAGTTGTATACTAAATCTTCCCTCGCGGAATTTAATACGCAATAACAGCCGTAGAGCGTCGGCAACCATGACGTTATTGGGAAATAAACTTATCCACGCAAGATTGTCATTTATTTTTTCTGCTGTCATGTACTTATCTACTTAGACTGTTTTGTCCCCTGCCAGCTAGTCTCAATCGATCATGATAATAGGAAAGAAATTAGACATCGCAATGAATTTAATTTCCAGCTTATTTTTGTTGTCATTTCATGTTATAATATCTTAGTCGCCAAAAGGATTAAGCAGGAGAGGAATGAAGAAAAACATGGCATCACAGTGCACTTCATCACACAGGTTTTTTCAGACGTAAACTTCTTAAAATGATATCATCTCCTGGGATATCGCAGCGATAAAATACCACAACAGGCATTGCAGATGAATTCACCTGCTGTTTATCTTGACAGCGTAAGCAATAAAAAGTATGCTCCCGTTCTATTTATCGCAAAACACAGCAAGCACTCTGTAAACTTTATCAACCATTGTGTTATATACAGAGGCACAGTTATTAGCTTGATCATAATTAACTACCTCACTACATGACAAGGTACCCCAGTGGCAAAATAGATTTAAGACCTCCAAGTCATGTTAACCAAAATTTATGCCGTGACAATGCAAAACCGTGGGCATTGAAAGGCAGTACTTATTGAAAAATTCGACTATCGAAACGCAAACAAGCTCATCCACAAGTGAATGAGTACCGAATACGGTACTGAAGGTTTTATACATTGTACCAGAGAAAATTTCAGAGCTGATCGCAAAATCCGGGAAAGACTGGTCGACTGGGAGAGATTCTGTGGGAAAATGACTCGTTCTGTTGTAGTGTGTTGTTAAGTTCAGGAGCGAACTGTTCTCAACTGTCATCAGAAGGTATGTATGTATACAGGTTATTCACTTTGATTTAGCGGCTTAAAAATGTTTTGTTATGCTATGTTTTCTGGCTAGGTTTTCCGGAGTTGCGGTATCACATGCATTTTGTCGAACTGATTCGAAACTTCAAGACTGCTACGATTCAATTTATGATAGTCGTTACCAGTTTCATTTCTGAAAGTGGAAGAATAGAGTTTTGGAAAAATCACCAGTAGGAAATTTTGAAATATTGCTGAAAAAAACTTATAAACAATCTAACAACTGAGACCTCCTAACATTTTTAAAGGACTCAGTCGAGAATATATAGATGAAAAGAGTTTTCCTAAATTTGGGTTAAACGTACTTAGATTTCGTCTGAATAAAATCGAATTGTTTGTTATGGCGTTATCATGCAGTTCTGTGAACTTAACTCAGTGAAATTCTGTGCTGGTCCGAGAGAATAAAGAATAAGATACTTCCGGCGAAGACGCTTTTGAAGACAAATTTAAACATTTGAAAAGATACATCCATTGACACAATTTTTGCTTGAGAAGGAGATTTTTAAGTCAGCGCCATGTTTGAGTGCGATCCACTTCATGCCTTTCTTGTTTTAACCTTGAATGAACATAGTGATTCTTGAGTGTGTATTCCTTTTTTGTTTGTTTTTTTCTTCAATTTCCGGCCTCTCTTTTGCTTAGCCTGCGAAAAAGGATTCATTTAGTATACAAGGCTGAAAAACTTATAGGCGAATACGAAAATAAATCGGTGAGGACTCGGAGAGTCGAGCATTCTTCCCCAGATCGCTCTCGGTTGACCAACCCGCCAGTTCTCACATATTTTCACTCTCTTTTCACATGGCTCGGGACTAGCAGAATGATTGGCGCGCTGGTCTTGGTTCGAGCCTTGGCTTGGATCAATGTAGCAGTGTTCTCGTAAAGGGGGGGAGAAGAAAGTTTTCTCTGAGAGTACCGTTCTCTATCCAGAAGAATAGTGAGAGAACATCTAAAGAAACTATCACAATACCTTGGGAAGAGGGCCCGTCATCTGTTACCATCCCATTCCGGGGGATTCGCTATAGAAATATTTATAAAAGCTCTCTGATACGGACACCGGAAAATTCTCCAAGACATAGTTACTGGATCTGAGGGGATTTTACTTTCGTCATAGGCAGAAGTCAGAAATCAAAAGCAGTCAGTGATCAGTGCTATTTGCCTGCATATACGTAGGCACACTGAGGAAGCGCTGCATTCAACCAAAGAGCGAACGTAGTTAGCTTTTGAAAACCTTACAATTCCGTAACCAAAACAAAACCGGATCTTTTTAATTATATCCCATTGCAAGGTCACTTTGTTCAAAGGTCGAAAGCAAAGACACAAAAGAATGTAATTTAAACTAATTCGTTTCGCCTGAATTCCGTAAAAATGAACTTACGAACAATTGCGTGAATCAGGTTCATGAATATTTTAGGTGAATGTCTGCCTTCACCTGCCGTTACAAATTTAGATGTGGAACGTAGTTTTTATGAGGGAAGACCTTTGAATTTATTTGATTAGTTCCGTCTTGAAGTGAGACCAAATCGGGGTAAAAACAGGATATTTTGAACTTGAGGAAAAAAATTAAGTAAACGTCATCCAACTGCTCCAAATGTGTACAGCGATGTGAGTTGTTGACAGCCCTACAAGGTGAACTCAGTGGAGACATACTGCGATACAATTTCTGATTCACAAAAAAAATTCAAAGTGAAGTGTTAGACTGGAATTGAATAGGAATAGTGCTTTTGAGAGCTTTAAGATTAATTCTGAAAATATTTCTCGTCAGAAGTATTTTGAAAAATATTCAACTGAAACCATGAAATCATAAACTTGAACATAAGAATAACTCTATGATATTCGGGTTCGTGGGAAAGTCATCAATCAATATATCAAAACATTGTTTATATATTCATGCGGTAAACTCTCTCAATTGTAATAAAAAATAAAAAAAAAACTTCATACGCCAATCCTCTTGGGTCGTGAAAGTAATGACAAGGATTGTAATTAAAATTGATATGTGTTTGGCTTCGATAACCAATATTTGGCACCCACCAATTTAGCTCTCACTGTCTAATGATATGTGTCTCAGGAATTAACCAAAGCACGTTATGAAATTTTAATTGAAGGCATTTAGAGGCGACTGAAATGAATCTGCTATCTTTACACAGTGGTCGCATATAAAAGAAAATATGTTGCGGATTATTGAATCAAATTTGACGGCTACCGGTTGGTAAATTCATTAGATTGTTGTTTAAAATCAGAACATTCCCGTTAGGTAATTTCAAGCCATAACATTACGATATAATATGTTCCTCGTGAACTATTGAATGTTTATCAGTTATCTATCCCCAACAACTCTGTTTTGTTCTTACGGATCACTGAGCTCAACAAAAAATACACATTTAAAGCACGCTTTGGTAAGTAAAAATCTTGATGTGGCTAATCACACCAGTTTGGAAATGTTTGCCTTATTTCAAAGTTAACATTAAAATTAAAACTTTGTTTATTCCAAACCAGATTGCTTGTTACGCGAATAAAGTCGAATATGGGTCAAAAGTGTCATTTGGTTTAGAGAAACTCTTCCGAAGACGTTTTGCGCAGGATGTGTGATTTTTTATAAAATTATGGTTGTTACTGCCGGCGACAGAAATGTATTAGGGAAGCCGTTTAAAGCGAGAGGTATTTAAATTCTTTTGTATTCTGCCCACCATACGTGTGATGACAGTTGTATTCAAAGTTACATGCCAAAACTGAAGGAAACAACCATAGGAAAACAGCCTTTGAGAAATAATTTCGCCGGCGAGGACAAGTTAAGAGTTTCAAACAAGTCATTTTAGAAGGATAATTTTTTACCAAACGAGAATCTTGTATAGCAAGTGTTTGTAACGGCGGAGCGATGTGGCACGAATTCGCTAAAAGTGTCATTTTGTGGCCAGTTTTCTACTTGTGTTTGAAAGTGATCCAAACATTACTCGTGAAATTTTTTGTACTAAGGTATTGATATCAAGTTCTCACACAGCTTGAAGTCTGATGGTAGCTTGTCAATTATTCTTGAATTCAGCAATTTTTTCCAAATACACATTGCTTTAAAATATGCTGGTGATGACGTAACTTCTGAAGAACAGTGTTCAAATTTTTGCTGATTGGACTCTGTAAATATTACCTACCATGCGTGGACCGTGTGTGTCAGTGGGTACGAGAGAATGTGAAAAAAAAATTAGTTTTCGCTGCAGAAAGTAAAGCGTCATAGGTTTCTGTCCTACCTTTGCTCGCTCGAATAAAAACAGAATTTATACTAGGAAATCTTACGAGAATTGTAAGAGATTTTATTGAAAACAACCACTGTCAAAAGATATCTAAGAATCCACAGAATCCACACATGTACATTCCAAATTTTATTGCTGGGATCAATGATTTTCATAAAAGCGTACCTCAAGATAATTCTAATAATTTTTAATTCACGGTCGTAATTCCTCACTTAAAGAAATCGCGACTGGAGTTTACATAGGTACTGCCTCTTAAGAAAGCGAAATGTTTCATGCAAAGAATAATCGACTCAGTGACAAGTTATGATTTTAAGATTTTAAAGTTATTTATTCCTATAGCTGTATAGCAATGCGTCAATGATCAGTCAGATAAAAGTTTGTTTAAATGAGTTTAGGAAAGTACTTTCCTTTCCCAACAGATCATCAAACTATACTTTTATGATTTTTCTCTACACAGATTAGAAGAAAATTTAGACCTTGATCTTATTATGACCGCAATGGGTGGTCGTTGTTTCCGACTCATCGTCGCCTGTTTTCTGTCGTTGTTATCATCAGGTAAGAAAATCTTGATAAGAATTCGTTTCTGTACCCTTAATTTCTATTTGCGCAGCAAATAACGTTTAAAAACAATCTCTAAGGCAATGACAGGTGATCTGTTAGCAAATTTCGTTAGAATATATATGCCGGTATTTCTCAGTTTTAGACCTGAGGTTCCAGATAACTGTTCAGCTATATGACTCGATATATCAACAATCAAAAGAATTAAAAAATTTGTTTTTTTCTTTTTAATTCGTCATTCTAAGGCCATATGTTTTCTGTTACAACATTTTTGCAAATTAATTCAAGGCTGTTGCGTCAGCGCATTACTCTCCTGAGAATATTGAACAGTTACAAATTTTCAAGATATGTATAAGAGATTATCTATAATCTCTTGATATGTGTAATTTAAAAATTTTTTTTTTCATTTCAGTGCGAACGGCAAATCCATCTGCCGAACAAGTATTGATTACGACTCTTTTAAAAAATTACGATCGAAATGCTCGGCCAGTGCTCGACAGACGAAGACCCACAAACGTCACGTTCGGACTTGAGGTTGTTCAGTTAGTGAACGTGGTAAGACTTATGTCGATGTAAAGACAGCGGTCAAATGTCGAGCATGCGCAAGAGGATTAAATTTTGGCCGACGCGCTTCAATTTCTCACCAAAACTTTCAAGGGAAAACATAAGAAATAGCCGCTGTCGCGCAAAACATGTCAAAAAAGTTCAAACGTTTACAGATATCGGTTGAAGGAAACGGAAGTAGGGAAAGGGAAACCCTAAAAATTTTCTTTGAGAGTTCTCGAACCGACATAACTTATTTGATTGCGGATACTCTGCTGTGAAAAATTCTGTCCTAGGCTTTATCTAAAGGTTTTTACGCTCTTTAAAAGACTCGAACTGACACGCTTGTTATGACTCCGGAGAACCTGAGTGTACACCGCGTTGTCATAACAGCGTTCACGCATGCGCACGCGTTTGGCCATTGTGTTGCATGATGACGGATAAAGATTCCGTCTTTCTCTGTTTTCGTCTGCCCTTCCCAAGATGATCACATTAACGATGGAACAAGTTTCTTTTTTTATGCTCAGGATGATCGTAATCAGATGTTAACAACGAATGTGTGGGTTAGACAAGTAAGTTCATTTATTAACATTTTTTTAAAAATAGAAATAGCTTTTATCATCCGGCAGAAGACAAAACAATTGTTTTCAAATTTTCTACTTGAACCTACTTAAAAAGTTTATTTTACTAAAGCACCAACTTCTTTCAAAGACTAATCCCTGAGAGCTGGTTTACTAACCTAGAGCAGACTCGCCTCAACAAAAGTCAGCCATTGCCTGCACCATACAAACGACTTATTCACTGCATTAACATCCTAAACGGATAGAACAGAACGATGTAAGTTTACCCAGGAAATAACTCTAATGATGACTTCTCCTCAAGTTGTCGAAAACGTCAGTCACCACAACCTACAACGTTCCTTCTAAGGACGACATTCGCCCGGATGATCAAACCACACTATCACATTTAATTTTACAGCTGTTAACATTACTGTAAAACTGACCAGTCAGTTGTCATTTTAGAGATGGAGAAATGAGCTGCTGACCTGGAAATCAGCAAACTACAGTGGAGTAAAAACAATACGAATAGATCCAAGAATGGTGTGGATACCAGACATTGTGCTCTACAACAGGTATTTTTTTTCAAAAAGTATTTAACAATTATACGTTAATTAAAAAAACTTTAAAAAATAACAAATACAAACATGCTGATTTATTATATATGTTTCAATCGGTCGAAAACTTATCGTTAATCCACGTCTCAAGTTCTCCCTACATCCCGCAGGGGTAATTACGCCGCAAAACTTATAGGAAGTGTGAATTATTGCTTGAAAATCAGGCACACCCCCTCTATTGCTCAATAAATTTGTTTTATACAATTCCAGCGTGCTTTGATTTTTCGGGCGGCTTTACTCTATCAATCGAAGTGAATATCTTAGCTGCGCATGGGTGGTTTATGGTTGCTTGTTTCTGGGACATGAAAAAACTTTGAACTTCATACAAAAATATTTTGATTTTCCTTCCCAGTGCGGACAGTCTTTTCAGCGGTGGCCTTGAAAAATACAAGACACGTGTTATTCTGGTGCAGGATGGTCGCCACGCCTGGTACAGTCCAGCTTCTTTCCGAAGCACGTGTACCATCGACGTGACATATTTCCCGTTCGACGAGCAAACATGCACCATGAAGTTTGGCTCTTGGACATTTGTGGTTACAGATCTAGACATAGAGGCGGAAGACACACCCACTTTCTCGGACAAGTACGTAAAGAGCGCTGAATGGGACCTGATCAGAGCTTCTAAGAAGCGAAACGTTCAATTTTACGAGTGTTGTAGCATTCCTCTTGCTGATGTAACCATCGAGATGGTCATTCGACGTAAGCCTCTCTTCTATGTTTTCAATCTAATCACACCGTGTATGATAATGCTGACCATGATCCTCCTGGGGTTCTTCCTTCCACCTGAATCAGGAGAAAGAATCACGCTAAGCATCACGGTCCTATTGGCCATGGCTGTATTCTTGCAGCTTGTGGCGGAAACTCTACCGCGAAACTCAGAAACTATCCCATTACTCGGCAAATTCTATATAACCATAATGGCGGAGATATCCATGTCTCTGATGTGCACTTGTTGGGTGCTGAACATTCATCACAGAAATTCCGGTCGTTCTATCGTCAAAACACCTCAGTGGGTTGAAGTTTTTGTCCTTGGCTGGTTGGCTAAAATTCTGTGTGTGAGGAAACCAGGCGTGGAAGTTGAGAAAATTTCCATAAACAACAAACATGAAAACCGTAACGACGACGACGTAATTCAAGTGAGAGTTTCACCGCAAGACCTCAAGGGAAAAATGTCCTTGAACGGTGAAGCGCATACGTTGTTATCGATGAGTCACGTGACCCCTGTTTGTCGATCGATTGGGCAGATACAGAAAAGATTCTCGCAGCATAATGGTGATGCGAAAAATTCTGAGGAGAAAGAGAATGTTTCAGGCGATAATTTGTCTCGAAACTTAGCAGTGTTGACTGATCACGTAAAATTTAGTCGAGATATCGAAGACAATCAAAAGAAATGGAAACATGTTGCTATGGTGATGGACAGATTCTTTTTTTGGTTTTTTATTCTCACTGTTTTGACATCAACGCTGGTGATATTTAAGGAGAGAATACGTCAAGGACGGGACAGCTCTTAGAGACTTGTTGACCATTTTTAAAGAAACTAGCATGTAGAAAAACACATTGTCAGAGGAGAACTGAAGCCCAAATTCATGTAGTTTTTTTCAAGGTAGATCGTACATTTAAGTATGATGGAGTAAATTTCCGTAATGTTTCCTTCCTCGAACGACAGTTTTTATCCAGGAAGCGAAGGGTTTTTTGGTAACAATTGGCTCGATATTTGACCGTGGTACTCAGAACACGTATGTCAGCGATTTCCCCATCAGGTCTAAACCTTTTTTTTTATCAAGGGTCATTAAAATAATTCCTCTATACCCGTTCCTTGCTGATAAATCCCTCTCACGAGAAGCCAATTGCCAGTTAATACCGGAATACCGGAGGGGCCTGTACTCTGTTCTTCTACAACTTCCCAGGCCTTGCGCGGTTGTCAAAACACGGGGCTTAGAATGATGGATATGACTTTAACTATCTGTTCACCTTTACTTTAAATACATCTCTATTAGCATGAAACATTGGTAAGTTAATACCTTGAGTGCGGGAGATTTTATCCAGCGTATCTCGGTTATTGTGGGCGTAGAAACTCGCACCAGCTGCAGTCTTGTAACAAAGCAACTCTTCCTTTCAGCCAATTTTATAGATAATAAAGCTTTTTTAAATCCCAACCACGCATCTGAGTTATAATTTGTATCGCTCAGCATGAAAATTGAATTACTGTGAAAGTAAAATTGCAAAGCTCGAGGTTCCTTTGTCGCAAGTATTAAATGAGACTTGGTTTATCAATGAAAATCTATTTTGGTTGATTTTTGACATTCCTTAGTGTTTTATGAATGGCTTCGTAATTTTGAAATCAACCCAGCTGATGAAATGTTTTTGTTTGGCGCATCCCGAATTTTGTTGTTCTAAGGAGTCATGTTGGGGTTTTGATTAAAAGTTCAGAGAAATGTTTGCATTTTCACGAAAAGTTTTCCGGACTTCTTTTCCATAGTAATTGAAGCCTTGACAGCTAATTAAAGTTAGTCGGAAGAGAATCAAAGCTGCTAAAATCCACAAAATAGCGCAAGGAATATTTGTCGTGCATCAAGATCAAGTGATTTACGAAACTGTGGAAGTATCTTCGCATGACGTAGGCTTCTCTCAAGTGATTCAAAAAAAAAGGTAAGCTATGAATCTTTCATCTTCTGCCCTGAACAAAGCGTGTGAATTAAGGCTGGGTTATCCATCATTCCATCGAAATAATTCAAATAAGAAATTTATTGTCTGATTTTATTTTAACGACGTTGAGGTGTTGTATATAGCATCCTTACCTATTACATTGTGTTTTACGAAATAGAAGACCGCCTTAATTTACTTTGTAGCTACATAAAGGCGAATCGAAAATTACACACCATAAAATAGTTGCCTGAGGAAAGGAAGACTGAGTAAATAAATGATTACAGTTTTAAATCAATTTTGCGAAACAAGTTCTTTCATAAGAAGACTTTTTTATTCGCCAATAGAATGAGCGTCAAAGTCGCAGTTCAATTTTGCGTTTCTCCGTCCGCAATCTCTGATCACTTCAACAGTATAGAAACGTCAGTCACCAACAACAGTTCTTTTCAGAACTACACTCACCCGGACGATCACACTACACGAACTAGTATAGTATCTGAATTTCACGGCAATTTGTGATCGTGAGTAAGGAGGTTTTGTTCGGTACTTATATGGTGAAAGTAGATGAGTCATAAATGTTCGCTAAACAGTGGTTTTGAGGTATTACTTTGCGTTAGGCTTCCAGCAATACAGAAACCATGTTATGCGCACCTTTATAAAGCTCAGTTAAAAACAGTCCTGTGACTCTTTTGATTCAAACAACTCTATTTAGTGAACAGTATTAATTTTATATCAGTGTCTTCTCGGATTGCTAGTGAGGCTCAGATATCAATGCGGTTCTTTTGGATTCTCGTCTAACCGCTGTGGGCTGTCTTCAAACAATTGAAAAATCAAATCTTCACTTGAAAAATTAACAAATGACGTTAGTTTCTTGACATAAACGCAACAACTACAGACTTCACATTTCTCCAAGCATCTCGGCCTACATACATACTCTTATAAGGCAAGTCTATAAACTTATCGCTGTAGTGTTCCGACAGGAGGGGCCAGACACGCCTGCTAAAGGTTATAATTATCGAAACCGAGAGGTCGAAAGATTGCGGGTTAGATTTTTAACCAAGATCAAATTAAGAGTAAAAGCCATTTCATAGATCCGCAATGTGTGCAAAGTATCGGGCATAGTGCGGCAACTTATTAGCCCCCTTCGACTAGGCCCCTCCTAGATTTCTTAAATAAGTGTTAAGAAAAAATAAGAAACAGTCAATTGATCAAGAAAGATTAATGGGAAGCATTACAGAACCCTATAGCATTATCTTACCTGCTCGATGTCTGAATCTTCCAAAAAATTCAATACATTTTTTGGTAAAATCTTCCTGAGGGAGTGAACTTAATTCAAAGATACAAGATGCTTTCGGTTGGGAGTCGAGACATTGGAAAGATTGAGCAATGTTTAGAAGCATGCATTACAATACTAGGCGTACGAATATGGGTACAGTATTTATATCTAAAAGATTCCCGTTAAATTATCTATAATTATGCTACACGTTCGATTCAGATGGTTTCATCATGTTTCACAATTTACCTGAAAATTTTAATTCTCTGGTTGACAAAAACGCCTGGAAACACCCATGACTGCGACATCACTTAGCAGCTTTGATAATTGAAGTACCCATTGAAATTCCACCGATTAAACTCTTCAAAATTACTTTTATGCTATCAAGAACACAGAAAATGAAGCTTATAAAGGCTAATTGAGGTCCTTAAAACTAAGGCAGGACTAAAATTGGCAGTTTCATTCGTTAAAGATAGCAATTGGGGGATAAAATTAGCACACACGAGTAGTGTGGTTACATCTAGTGAGTCATATGCAAAGTGACTAAGGTTGTCAGCGTGTTGTTCAGGAAAAGAGAAAGGTTTTAGACATGTACTAAAGATAAGGTGCGCATTGTGATGAGAAAAAAAACATCAGAAAAGATATTTACCTTATTATAATATTTTTCTTATTATCTCTATTTTTTATACGACGATTTTGACAATGCGGTTCCAACGCGAAAAAAGGGATGCTTCTCACAAATAAAATAAGGCGATGGCAAAGCTTCTTACAGCCTGTTCACAGCCTGTTCACAGTCACCCACGGTTTCAAAACTAAAAACAGCTCTCTTTTATATATACCCTCGTTCATATGATACCGAGTTTTAGAAGTAGAGTGTCACAGTCATTGCTTGGAAGAGTCCGGGGCATATTTCAATTTCTCGAGGGTACAAAGTTTAATATGTCAAAAAATTGGATCTTTTTAGAAATCTCCTTTGCTATTAGAGAAGGGACGGATCTCTGACCGCATTATTCAAAGCTGATTTTATCTAAAAAGGTTGACACATTCGCGAAACTACCGCCAGCTTTTAGAGGGAAATGAGATTACATGGCGCGGAGAATTAGCGTGGAGATGAATTTCACCTATCAAGCCATAGCTTCCGAATTCATATTCGCAGATTATTATAATAATTTTAATTTTAAAGCGCTTTTCAATGTTGTTGTATCTCTGCTGCCTAAAGAATGGTTTCTTTTTCGTTTACCATAAATTTATGGCATTTTTAATGAAGCGAAAAAAAACTCGACATCTCGTAATTTGGACAAAAATTTTGATTCTTCATTACAACCGAGTGTCCTCATAATTCTAAGTACAAGTTGCATTTAGTGATTGCCATTTAAGTACGGGAATCTGTAGTAGGGTTTTTCAAGTAAAAGATCACATAATAATAAGTCTCGGAAATAATTTTGCTTATCTTACACATGAAAAGAACAAGGAAATTAAAGAAAATGTGTACTTTTGTATTCATTTGACAGCCTGTTGTTACCAATTCTTTCTTTCTCATTAAAATCTATGACAACTCTTACGGATTTTCGGAAATCAATAATTAAAAAGTTTAGGAAATCTCTCAGAAATTCGAGGGAATACAAGATCTGCTTGTAATTAGATTTGATTTGTGTTTTCAACCAGTCATAGAGGAGATCCGCGCAGGTGCTAACATAATTGATCAGAAGCTATAAGATGAAATTGCTTCGAAACCACTTTGTCACGAGCTGTCGAAACTGAAAAATTCATCATGTTGTTGGAAAGGTTATTCGTATAGTTCCAAACCTCCAGTGCATGTTCCTTACTGTAACTATTACAGCTCGATTTGGAATTGTTGATGCTACGATTCCCAAGAGGTGGCCATTTTCTCTCAATGTGATTCCTCTGAGTAAACCTTCAGGGGAACGCATCTTTTTTGGATTTAGTGCCCTCTATATCCTTTTAGTCACCCTAAGGAAAGTCAATTTTGATTTCGTCTCTTTGGTCTAAGAGGTTTTTGAGGAATTTTATGCCACTACGAGCCATCAGTTCCAGAACTTCACCGCGGTTTTGGAAAAACCGAAGGAAGGACAATCACCCACAATTTTGACATTAAAGTTAAGTTCTCTCTCCTATCCGCTAGGACGAACCGAAAGGCAAGTATCACAATGAGAAATATTCGAAAACCTTTTAAGTTGTACGTGGTATACGTGGACACCTTTGTTGCATTTTATACTGAAGGCTTTTAAACTCTCTCACGCAGGTGCGAGTGCATTACAAACAGCCTTGTTTATCACTCTTCAACATACTCCCAATCACAATGCAATATGATCTTTTTTAGGGAGAATGAAATTATTATGCGCATTTTTGCGCAAAAAAATTCAGTATTTTCTTGCTTCCCATTCATGCGAATACATATTTGATTTAGGCCCTGCGTGCTTGAACATTAAGTGCGTATAATTGCATTGTAATTTATCGAGTTTCTTTCATTACTTCCAAAATGTTCAACGCTATGTACTGAAGAATGTGGAGGACCAAAAATATCGGTGTTTCTTTATTTTTCGTAATGAAAATGGCTAACCTCGGATATATATTTTTTTCGTCAATAATACGCTATAAATCTGATTTTGAGCTCTGGATTTCAGAATGATGGAGATTGCTCTGGAATAATGATATTTTATTGTTTCTTGATTATCTCTCATGCAGTTAATGTTGTAGACAGTCCACTTGCATGATTATTATGCCGTGAACTAATTTGTATTCATGGATTGCCAAATAGAATTTAAATAAGAAATATTTCAATTTGTTGACATAGTTTTAGAGCTTAAAATTGGCCATGGGTCATTCGCGTGACAGTGAACAACACGAACACCTATTTGTGACTTGTGAATAGAATTTAATCATGCAGGGAAAAAAATGTTTGTCTCTTTATTGCTCAACACTGTCACAGCCCGTCTATGTTAAGCACAAGAGTCCATCTCAATGCACCATGAAACTTCATATTTTCGACCACCATAATTAATCATGAAATTTGTGGTTATAACATGTAATAGCTTTGTTCGAGGAGTCTCCGCAACAGTACTCCAAATCTGAGTGAATAACAACTTATATTATTGGACTAAAGACAGTCTCCAAACATACGTTGACACCCCCCAAAATATACGTTAGTCAGTTTTCTTCAGACTTAAAAATTAAATTTTCTCGGCTTAAACAGCGGTAGTTCTTCAAAGATTGCCCAATAAGGGGCAATTCTTTTGGTGCTGGCCAAGGGAGTTATAGTGATGTCAATATTTGGTTCTTGTTTTTTTGTTTGTTTTTTGTCTAGCTATTGAAACTAACTAATTACTTTTCAGATACAATTTGTTTGTGGTATTGAAATAAATTTGCGCTGGCAAAACTCATATGCATTCAGTAATAATGATTATCTATATATCTTTGTACAGAAATCTTAAAAAGAAATGAATTCATTCACATCCAGAAGTTTGGTCCTCGTTGCCCTCATCTCCTTCGGTAAGCGGATATCAGAACTTTAGCCAACCGGTATTGTTAAATAAATACCGCCTTGTTTTCAATCCTATCTTTACTTTTAAACCATAAGTTACATTCTGCGAAAGATTTATGGAAATCTCTCCGTTACTAGAATAAAGAACAGTTAGTAGATCGTCGTAGATTGTTCACAGTAGAAGCTCATTTTGACAGTATACCGAATGCTTTACCAGGAGTCACAGGAGTGCAGTGAAAATTGGCTGCCATCTTCGTTCCCATTTTACTCGCAATTATCTAATAAGCTGAATCATATTCTCATTTTGATTAGTTCTTAATTATGATCTATTGGAGGACAGACACAGATGTCGTCGCCAATGACAACTTCTGCTTCTTTGTCGCATAAAACTAATAGGTTCCATGTTGCCTCACAGTAGACGTCCAAAGTATGGTAAGAACATCGGTGACACCCTCGGCTGCGCTTCGAGTGCCTCTTTTTTTTTGTTCTCATCACATTTTGACGTCACCTGTGATCTATCACCGAAAAGAAGCACGGCAATATATAATCCATTTGTAAAGAATATCCTCCCTCAGTCATGCCTGCTATCTTTTAATCACGAAAACATTTACGCGTTTTTGTTTTAGTTTTTCCTCTTACGAGGGCAGCTCTCTCATTTCGATGCAAAGTAACTTGCATTTTTTTTTATTTACTTCTCAGTTACAATAACTACATCAAAAGGTTTGACACCTGAGGAGCGACTCATCACCAATCTGCTTGCAAATTACACGAAGGAAGCAAGACCAGTAAAAGACCCAAAACAAAAAGTTGTGGTCACATTTGGTTTTGAGCTTGTCCAGTTGGTCAATGTTGTAAGTGGAAGCAACTAACAGCAGTTTAAACAAACCATTATTCTTTTCTGATCAAGAAGCATTTATTTCCCTATTAAAATTAAACCTTCACGAATTCTTTTTCCTTCATCAACGTTGTGTTATTTGCTAATCCAACTGACATTTTCGGTCTCTTGTTGTGTTTCAGGATGTCAGAAATCAAATGATCACAACAAACGTTTGGGTTCGACAAGTAAGTATTTGCAAATTTCGCCTTACATTCACCTAGTGATTCGTTCATTCACTCCCTAACTCACTTATTTACCCACCAGCCTAACCAACCTTACATATCTTTTCTAATTTGTCAGAACAGAAACACTGCTCTTTTATCAGCGAGACCAAATCTTTTTCAAGACGGTTGCAACGAGTAAGACATGTCCATCGAACTTGAATAAATTTCTTGATTAACATATTTACTGTCGGCAGATTTGGGACAACGAGCTTCTCACGTGGGACCCTAGGGATTATGATCAAATTCAGACGGTCAGGCTGGACGCATCCTTAGTCTGGATTCCAGATATTGTCTTGTACAACAGGTTAGTGCTGACTTGTCAGAAACCTCAGTCCCGTTGGAACGAACTTTTAAACGTGTTCTCATCGTTTGCAGCGCAGATAATGAATTCAGCGGTGGTACTGATAAATACAAGACTCCGGTGATTTTGTCAAGTAATGGGAGCTGCAGTTGGTTCTGTCCGGCTTCTTTCACCAGTACATGCCCAATAGACGTACAGTACTTTCCATTTGATCGTCAGAAGTGTGTATTGAAATTCGGCTCTTGGACTTACGAGGTAATTCTTGCGTCATAAGTGGCATTTTTAATAACTTAAAGGACGACTCAAAGAAAAATATGGAAGTCATGGTAAAATAAGTTTCTTTCAAAGCGAAAAGATTTTTCCCGATAAAAATAGCACAAAAAAAAAAGCAAAGTGTATCGCTTTTACCTCTTCCTCGGCTATCTCATTGCGTGACATGACACTTCACGGGAAAAAAAAGAAAGAACCTGTCAAAAGGTAAGTTAGCCTCTTTTCGTAACAACGAGCATCATGAAAAGACAAGAGACAGGAAAGGGAGGCCGCTTCTGAAAAGCAGCCTGAGGAAACGATGATGAAGACGAAAATGACTCCGACGCTGTGGTCTATGACAATGATGACGACAATGCGGATGGTGATGATGACAATAACGATTACGAAGATGATAATCGTGACGATTACGAAGATGATAACGTGACGACGATGATAAACTAATGATGACGATAATGTTGATGACGACGATGATTATGATTATGGTTTTGACTAAGATGATAATGATAATGACGATAACGATGACGATGACAAAGATGATGAAAATGACGATGACGTCGGCGAGCGCGATGACGATCGAGGATGAAAAAATTCGCTAACATGTTGTGTTTACCTTTCCCATTGTTTAAACTTACCTAGGGCAAAATTTTGAGACTGGTGGTATTGTTTTCCTTGAGCAAACAGCAACGTTCTTTGATAGGAACGCACGATCGGTTGTGATCACTATAATAATCCTCTCTTAATTCCTTTGTTCTTGAAGGTAATAGACCTCGACATGAAGGAGGAAAATGGATCTTCACAATCTCAGTACATACAAAGTGCCGAGTGGAATCTGTACGGAATCAAAAAACAAAGAAACGCAAAGAAATACACATGCTGCAAGCACAAGTTAGCAGATATCAGTATAACAATTATCATGGATCGAAAGCCTTTATTTTATCTTTTCAACCTTGTCATACCATGTTTGATAATCCTCTCCATGATTCTACTCGGCTTCTTCCTTCCTCCGGAGTCGGGTGAAAGGATCACACTCAGCATCACAGTGCTGCTGGCTAATGCTGTCTTTCTTCAGCTGGTCGGAGAGAGCCTCCCAAGAAACTCTGAGACTGTTCCTCTTCTTGGGAAGTTCTACATAACTATCATGGCGGAGATCTCCATTTCGCTGATGCTGACGTGCTGGGTTCTAAACATTCATTATCACGGATCAGGGAATTCAGTTAAGGCAGTACCCTTATGGGCTCGTATCATTGTACTACAGTGGCTCGGGTACATACTCTGTGTGGGTAAACCAGATGGCAGTTCGCCTGATATACCAAACACAGACCTCAGATACCATCAAGACGACAGCAAGAGGAGGGGTGTGCCTTTTGCACTCGACTGGGAAACCACCTTTGCACCAGCTGCCAATTGTCACTGCACAAGATGTATCAATGCAAGGGGAACACATTACAACGGCGAACGCAGTCCGGACGAGTCTAAACTAATAGAGGTTCGGTACACCAGAGATTCGTCTCCTGTGGACTTTCCCGAGACACGACGAGAAAAACTGCCAAGGGAACCTAAACTCCCAGAGGAAATTAGCGTACTTGCGAACAGCGTGAAGGAACGTGAAAAAGTTGAGAAAAACCAGCAGGACTGGAAGTACTTTGCCATGGTAATGGACAGGTTCTTTTTCTGGTTTTACTCCATGACTATTCTGGTCTCGACTTTAACCATCTTCTTAAGCCGAAGTGACGAGGAAATTGGAACATAAACGTAACCAGTTTCGCTGAGGATGAAATAGGTTTCCTTCACAGGGACGCAATATCCAAATCTCTGTTGAAAATTTAGATTGCATTATCTGTGGCAAGTAACTTCTTCAAAATCAGTGCCACGTCTTCAGTCTAAAAACGTTTGAAAAAAGGTGCGCGATATTGGTCGCTTAAGCAACATGGTTAAAGGTATGAGTTTAGTGGAAAAATCCAATGTTGATAAAAAACTCAGATGCATTTGTAAAGTTAGCTTATTCAAGACTTTAAATAAATTATTTAACAATCAACATAAAAATATATCCACGTATGAGCAAAGGCTCTATTGCCCAGGTAAGTCGAAGCCTGTTTGTAAGGCAAAGTTTATTGGTGCAATATGCCGCAAAAGAAATCCAAAGTTTAAAGTAGAGCAGTGATTTTCTTATTTATTTTCGATTTCTAATACCGGGAACCGACGTAGATAATCTTTTAATACATTAATTCAAAAGATCTGATGGTCAATTCTCTTTTTAATGACTATTCATTTTCTTGAGAATCAGTTGGGAGATTTTGGTGTTATCTCGAGGTAACCCCACATAGATGATGGATCTTTCTCTTCTCGTAATTTAGATGAAGTAGAGATATTTAGAGATGTTGATCGTTTCTCGCTTTTGAAAACTTGAGTGTTAAGGATCTGAAAGTCGTCTTTTTGATTCTTAAATACAAATATTGGAGTCCCTGTCCGGGGCTGCAAATCTTTCAAGGCAGCTGCAGTCATTCTCGACGTATGTTACTAAGAAAAGGTCACGAGTCAGTGGAATGGGCAACCAATAGTTGTCTCACAAGGAATTGCCTCACCTTTCACTGGGCTATTACACTCTTTCACTATACCAAAAATCGATAGTTTTTTGATGATTTGGAAACTACACAATCAATTCAATAATAACAATAAATTTAATTCGGTTACAATTGATGCAAGTATTTGTTTTCCATAAATTCAATAGCTTGCGGAGGATATTGGCTAGACTTTACTATTCCATAAGTTAGATGCCTTGTTTTCTCGAATAGTACCCTTCCCGAATAGGCGCCTCACCCCTCCTCCTTCACTTTCTTAGAGAGTAGGAATAAAGAGGAAAACCTGTTTCTTTATCTCTCTTCTGTAGACTTTTAAGCTTCAGCTACAGTAGCCACCCTCGAATAAGCATCCTCCTTCCAACAAGTACCCCTTCTTTTAGCCACCGGGCGCTTATTCGAGGAAGTACGGCATTTCATGCGTATCTTCAAATGTTTTGTTATCTTAAAATTGTCTGAATTTTTTTTTTGACATCAAAGGGCTCATCAGAAGCGATGAAATATGCTCCCACCGTCAAAATATCTTCTGATTGTTTTTCTTCACAAACAAAAAATGTTATTGACAATTTTAAGTAGCTTCGGTTAAGAGCAATTCCTTTACGGTATAATATATATATATATATATATATATATATATATATATATATATATATATATGTATATTTAATAAATAATCCTTAATGTTGTTGAAATGATTCTAAAGTTTTGATCACTAAACAGGTGTGCTGCATAGATGTGAAATTCAATTATTAAAATTAACGATGTAACAATAATGCCTGCTGTTATCGTGTTAATGCGTAAACATTGTTTGAAGACATCTGGATTATTGGCCGCGATAGCTCTTGAGATAATAAGAATCTCAGTCACCATATATTATTTTTACCATTGTCCATAAACTCCAATGCTATAAATTCGCACCCAGAGCGTTACATGAAGAATGCAGTGAATAAGGCCGAGTGCTTAACGCAATTGCTTGATTTAGATTATTTTAAAATTATTTCTCAGGCGAGTCAGCCAATGATTAGATATACATATTATCTGAAATAATTTACCGAAAGCTGAAACTTTCTTTTCAGTGTTAGAAAAAAAAAAACTGGCAATTTACAAACTCTACGTACAGGCCAGCTCAGAGGGGATACAAGCCAGCTCAGTGGGGATACAGGCCAGCTCAGAGGGGATACAGGCCAGCTCAGAGGGGATACATCCCATCTCTTGTTTTTCCCTTTTTTTTTAACTATTTGCCTCACTACAATAAAAATTTACAACGAAGTATGATAAGGCAGAGTAAATACAACAATTTTATGGCGAGAAAACGTAACAGAAACTGCGATGCATAGAAGGTTAGAACGAAAAATAATAAAATTCATACATATAGTGTAATACAATACAATATAAGATGATGTATAATGGTATTATAATAATATAAGTTTTGGCGAATGACTGACAAAAAAAAACTTTCAAACGAACTAGTTCTTAAAATAAGATTTTGGTAAATTCAAAATTTATGACAGTGCTGATATTTGTTAGAAAGGCAATGTTAATGTTGATAATATATGTAGATATAATATTAAAACACTGAGGCTTGGCCTTTTTACTTTGACCGGCCTAAACGGACAAAAACTTTGCAGAAATCGCCAGAGGATAATCCAAAAAAATTCTTTATCAGGGATGTTATAGTCGTCACATTCCCATCTTGAGTCTCTAGGAGTCAACGACCAGTGGTGCAAATGTGGGACATAATTCGCATAGTTACTCAATCTTCCTTGTGAATTGGTATCACCTCACCTTTGATATGTCCATTGGTTACAAAGTCCAGCTGTTCTGGAATTATCATCTTCCATTCTTTTCAACGATCTACAGGCCAAGGGTCGCACATCACTCTGTTTGCGGAAGTACTGGACTACAGCCCCACCAGCAACTGTGGTAAAATGGAACGTACGTCCTTTTTATTTTCTGTAATGGATCGCAGCTGATTGAAAAACAAGAGTGATTGGATATTTTGTTGCTGTGGTAATTGCTGATTTCACGATATGATGACTCAATCTTCAGAGTGTCAATTGCTAGTAATATAAGCTGGTGAACTGACCTTCATCTTGAATGGCGATTAGCACGATTTTAATGAATAAATAACCAAGATTAGCTTACAAATTGCGAAATAAAACCGGTCATTTAGATGGGTTAACACACAGGAGAAAATATCAGCTGAAAGGGGGTGAATGCAGGCAATAACCAGTTCACAGCGACAATAATAGAAATAATTCATCTTTTAGAGGTTAGTCGCGGCTACACGGACATTGACTTAATTTGACTTAAGTTCGCGAGTCTTGCCTACTTGAAATTGCTCAAATTGCGTATCAATGTTATGTCTCGAGGGAGAAGACCTCATGTTCTCTTCGGTTTTGGGCCTCATGTCGGTCGATATGAAATTTTTTCAACTCTGCGTGAAACAATGTCATTGTTACGTGTTACTGTTGTTTGGTGATCGTTTTACTCGACCTGGTTCATTCTCACCCTCAGATGTTTTCATGCAAACATGTTGCATCAACTAGCTCGAAATAATTAGTGTAAGAAGTAATCAGCATAATTAAATAAACATAATGTTCCGAGGGGTTTTTGTTAAGATTGGTTTTGCCAGCTTTTGCAAGGTTTTCAAACTTGTAAGTGAGGCGTTTGAATGTTGAAGTTTCGCTCTTTTGATTTTCACAAAGATATTTGTATTTTTCAAAATTCTCAAACCAAACTGCTTGGCTGTGTTAGGTCTGGGTATGAGACTACCATGGCCCTAGCATAACATCCTACCCACCTACCCCTCCCCAGTTCCTATTGCTTTAAAATTGTACAAAATGGCGACGATACTTAAATTCCGTCAAAGTTCCCTGAGAGTAGTTGGGGCAGCTAAGGGTAAGAAAGTTCCAATTTTATTGGTTTTTGATCTAAAATTTAATGTCGAATTAGAAGCGTGAACTCTGGCAAAACTGACGATTTAGTCTTAAACTTTTCGACTGTCACACAAGGTCGTACAGGACGAAAGCTCATTGAAACGGGGTTCTTGAGCTCGAGAAGTTTCATTTTTTTGCCTGTATCAGGAATTATCCTGTTTTAGTATGGAAGAACATGAATTCAAATCACCTGAAATTAGCCACTCGTATGGGATGACGCGAAAGCATTAACGATGACATTGGAATAAAACCTTACTTTCTGGAACAGAGAAGGCACTAGGTCAGTTCCAGGTCATTCTCCCCTCTTTCCTCGTAAGGGTATCAGTGTTAAATCGAGAAAACAACTTTCATATGAGGAGAAGTTACATGTTAATCACTTTTGGGAGTTTAAGGCTAGGCTTAATTAGCTAAGGTATCAGGGGTTTCAAAATGTGGCCAGTTGCAGAAGAAAAATTGGAAAAACAAAATGTTATGGCGATGGGCAAAATCTGATCAAATCACGTGGTGAGCACTTCCTTCTCCAGATTCCTCTCATCCATGTTTGCTTTTTTTCCTCTTCTTTTATCTCTGAATATGCAGCTGAAATATTAACCATTTTATGATTATTCCCAACAGAGGCATGCCAAGGAAATGTAGTAACTAAACCATTTTTGGGTGGTGGCCATTATAGAAGGTGCCTGTCATCCCATGTTAATGTCCAAAAACATGGAAGTATAGCCATTTTGGAGCTAAACAGGGGACCAGTGAACAGCTTCAGCCTGGAATTTTTAGAAGAAATAAATACCACTTTGGGCAGCCTTGAAAATGATCAGGACTGCCAAGGAGTTATAATTACTTCAGTAGGTTACCATGTAGTACATGTATTTTACTTTAAATGAAGTTCTGATTAGCCATTAGTGGGTTTTAGATCTACTTTTGGTGTGTTAACTGCAAACTACTGTAAGCAGTTTGAGGCTAGAAGTTGGGAGATTATCAGGGTTTTAAACTGAAATTGGCTTTCACCTGACAATTAACATGTACACTGCCATCTTGAATTAATGGCAGAATGGAAATTCTTCATTTCAAACAAAAAAAGTGGCAGAAAGATTCATTTTTTAATGTCCCAAATGGATCAGCTAAAAAAAGAAAACCTCATCTTATATAACTAAAAGGAAAAATTTGGAAAAACTTATAAACAGGAGGAAGAAAGCACAGAAGGAGTTTACCCTACCTGAAACTGCCAAAAGTTCAAACATGGAATGCAAATAGCAAATATGACTGCTGGAGTCTGGTCACATGACTCCTTGTGGTTTGTGGTCACAAACAGGAATCTAGAATTCTCTTTTGCTCTTAGAAAACAGTCAAGGTGTCAATGACAAGTAATGGAAATAGAATAGGGGAAGATTTTATAAGCCTATAGGAAGCCTAAATAAAAACTACTGCAGCCTTTCCTGGTTTCTGTAGAGCTCACAAAGCATCTAGGAATAATATTAATCCAGTCTTAGAAAAGGATGGAAGTGCTAATACTGCTTATTCTCCATTGTCGAGAGAGAAACTGTGAGAGGAAAGAGGATCATGTAAATACACAACTGAATTGAGTTGATGATGATTGTTAGACTAATTGTTGTTGTCTCTGATTGAATTAGGGTGTTCCAAAAGTGTTTTCTGCAGGGCTTGACCTAGTGAAGGAAATTTACCAGCCTTCAGATAAAAAGCGCCTTGCTTCTTTCTGGAGTAATTTTCAGGAGATGTGGCTTCGCTTGTATGGATCACGGTTAGCTACAATGGCAGCTATTAATGTGAGTTATCCATTCAGTTAAACTGTCTCCTTCACCGTCTCTTTCATTTTCTTTTAGGATTAACAATTTTAATTGTTTGCCTGAGTCTTAATCCTTGAAATACATGTCACCTGAGCCTCTAAATTCTCTTTGAAGTCCAAAATTTTTCTTGGAGATTTTAACCCTTTAACTCCCAAGATCTGATTGGTAACTGTCCTCTCTAGCTGCTACACATTTCCTTGTACATTATTTACAAGAATTTGGTGTTAGATCAAGTAAACAACCTCTACCTGATAAGTTTGAATGTTCTCATTACCTGTGTGCTTGATAATGTATGGATATCATAAGGAGAAGTTACATGTGAATCATATGTTAGATTTAAAGGGTTAATGATTGTAGGTTGCTAAATGGGAACTTGGAAAAGAGTTGAGCTTATGTGTTAATCAAGTGGAAGCTTCAACATTCCCCCCCCCCCCCTGGGAAACCCATAGGGCATTTGAACATTTCAAAGTTGGTTCATTCAAATTCTTGTCCCTCAGGACTAAAAGAATGTGCAAATGCCCCACCCAAGTACCAAACTTGATGATCAATGTTTTTATAAAAGGCAAGATCAGGGACCATGACTTTCTAATAGACCTTTTCTCTTGAGCCACCAGCTTACAAAAGTGAGCTTTATAACTTTAAACACCTCCACATTAAAAGAAAAAAAACACATATGTTCTGCTAAAAAAGACTTGACAGTTCAGGTTCAAATTTCCCACCACACCCAAGCAAGGTTCAAACTCCCCATCCTTAGCTTTGGAGGACAGTCAAATGCCCTGTGGGTTGCCTTGTGGGAGGGACATGTTGAAGCTTTGATTTGATTAGTGCATAAGATCCATGTTAGACTGACACCCTCTGCTGAAATTGGCCCCTTAAGTTCATCCCTTGCCAATTTGGAGCATTCCTTTATTTTAGGGTCATGCTTTGGCAGGAGGCTGTGTCTTGGGCTTGTCATGTGACTATCGTGTCATGGCTGAGGGATTCAGAATTGGAATGGTGGAAATTGAGGCAGTAAGTTATTTTTAAGTTCCTTGACGAGAAAGTCATGTGATAATAAATGAGTTACTGATGGGGCTACTTGAGACATTAGTAATTGTGATGAATGAGTGTGGTGAATTTCTAACACTCTGCATGCTTTAAATCAGCTCTCAATCATGAGCATGGAAATAATTTGGTTTTATCAATTTATTTAATAATGTGAATGACCACTGGGAGGGGCTTCCAGAGCTGACATTTTGAGTGCCAGCCAGTGATCTAGCCCTTTGCCAGAGTGAATTGGGATTTGAATTTTGCAACAGTAACAGCATAAAAACAATTATCATTCCATTCAATGCTCCAAATCCATTATCTGATAAAACTAACTTTGTTGAAACAAATATTTGATCAGCTCAAATGCTGGTTTGAACAAAAACTCCTAAATGGGTTTTTTTAATTTTTTTTTCTCAATTTTATGTTTTATAGGGTGTCCCACCACCAACTTGGTGAGTGCAGTTTATCACAAGCAGAGCGCTTTTCGATTGTGTGTCGTATAAGCGTAATAGAAGTGTCGTTTAACCAATACCAATGTAATCACAACGGCCAATCAGATGACAGGAAAAAACCTTTTAGAGCCAATGATGACTCAAAATAAAACCGACCAAACTGCCAAAAGCGCGGGAAAACGCGAGCGACCAAGTCGTGATTGGTTTCAGTTAAATTGCATCTGATTTGTTGAGAAAGGGCGCAAGTTTCTTAGACTAATTACAACGAGAAGTAAAGTGGAAGCAAGGTAGTCCTGGATTAATTTCGACACTCGATTCAAAGTTCCTCAATTCGTTCAACAGTTGTGGTTGTAGTGGCTTGTACGTTGCCTCACCATTCACTTGTATTGTAATGGGGCGGACGCTGACTTAAATCAAATCAAACTTGAACAACGCCGCGTCGGGGAAATGTCTCATATCAACGGAACTTTCAAGCGTCTATCAATCTCAACTGGTTTATTATTTATTGGAAAGCTCGTAAAAACTGAAATACAATAAATTAAAATAGGCTATTACCATACTATAAACGCTAATCAAAATGTCCTAAACTCGAACGCGCGGGTCGTGTAAATAGATAAATCAAAACAACACAAATATCTTAAGCGCAACAAAACTACCTTGATTATACACGTTTCGGTTTATAAATACAAAAATAAACAAGATGATATACCTCTTTCCCCGTTCTATTATTCTAGTAATTCGACAATCCTTCGATCTGGCTATGCTTGCGACTAACATGTGTCTCGTGGCCGAATGAAACCTTATGCCGAAAGTTCGAGGGTATGTCACACAAAACAAAACAAAAGGGTATTGAACGTTACGCAAATCATAACTAAAAATAGTCTTCGTTGCATGTATTTTCCATCATTAGGGTGGTTGGTACCATGAGAAATGTGGTTGGCCAAAGTTGTACAGAGAAAGCGATCCTAAGTAACAAGAGGTACACATCCGAGGAAGCTCTAGCCGTAGGAATGGTTGATAAGGTTGTGCCAAAGGATAAAACCATGGAAGAGACGATGGTAGAAATGGAAAAATGGGTCGCTTTTTCTAGTAAGAATTTGAATTAACTTTTTTCTCCAGAAACGCCCGCCGCTCTGACATTGAACACTTATATTCGCTTCATACTCCTAACAATTTTTTTTAGGTTTTTGATACCTCACGGCATAACCCTGCACCCCCTCCCCTCGTCCAACCCTCAAAATTTCCCAGTCACTCTTTATGAGAAGGTTTTGTAAATTATTTAAGATGACCAACGTCATTAACTAGATTAAAAATTGGAAACGAAGAACACTCTCCTAGTCCTTCGCTCTCAGTGTGAGTTCTGATTCGTCTAACCGATGACCTTGTCTTCCACTTATGAATTTTCTTTAGAATATTATGGTAATTCAAGGCAGCATCGCGTAATTGATAGTTTGCTTCATTCTCCTTATATGTTGGCTCTGTGGTGCACACTTGCACACTGAACAGGGGGTGAAGTAGTCATGTGTTTTTCTCCATTTTTAGGCAAAGCTAGAGAATTAACCAAAAAAACACTACGAAAAGAGTTTGTGGAGGCGCTGGAGAATAACAGAGCCGAAGACATCAAGGACTTCTGTGACTGTATACTCGATGAAAATGTACAGAAAGCAATTGGGAAACAAATCGAGAAAATCTCCAAAAAGAACTAGATACCGAAAGCACCGCGTGAATTGTGTTGTCGTCAACGATAACAATTTGGCAAACGAAGAGAAGTCAGCGAGTGAACAAGTAAACTGGCATCTGGAGAACTTCCTTCATTTTCTGAGACCAACTTGAAGTGAGGCGCTTTCTAGTGCTTCAACATAAAACTGCCATTATGTAAATTAAACATAACTTTTAGAATAAGTATCGTCACCAATTCACATATCAACGTATAATCACAGTTTGTGTGCGTGGCATGGTTTTCCTATCCTGTCCTACAAAGGTGGATTGCCCGACCAAATCAATTCTGCATTTTCAGACGTTTCGCTCTTTCATGGCATTTTAAAGGTCGCCGCAGGGGCAGTTTGTGTTAGGAGACGCTTGTTTGGCCTTTTCATTTGAAAAGGAGCCTCTTAAATCGCAGATATCCACTTCCACTATATCTCGAACTTAAAGCCGCGCCTCTCAAACAGGCTTCAGTGTAAATCCCCCTTGGATTTTTTGTACCTGTGGCTTCTCGAAAGCGCCGCGTTTTGGCCTCAAACTAAGCACGTGTATACCAGAGGTAATCCTCGTTTTATAGCATCACCAAAACGAGAGAGGATAAGCAGGTGATGTTGAATTGCAGATATCATCTCCCTTGTTTAACTTATAATTCATTCACTTTCTCAAGTAAAATTCATTCACGGTTTCATTTATAATTCATTCACATCTGTAACCAAGGATTTTCTTTTGTAACACAATACCGCGTGCACTTGTGAAATCAAAGTGGTCGCTATGAGTAAATTATTCACGTGGATATGTGGAGCATACCCTTTGGCACCTCAGATCTCTACGTCACCCCATTTCAGAACTGACTAACGAAAACAGACCCGCTGCTTTTGCTAAAACACAAACTTGACTGCAAGGCGCCATTTCAGAGAGTTCAAGTATTTATCCAACTTAAACATGACATTGAACTTGGGACCATGAAGAGTCATAAACTAATACCGTGTGGCGTTAAAACTAGTTTTAATCTACCACAAAATGCCTATTTACAATTTTTCTTATTATTTCACGCTACGAAAATTATAAGCGTAAAAGAAGTTGTACGTTTATTTACCAGTGTCTCATTTATAAAGAAACAGAGCGGCTCTTTGTCTTAGTGAAGGGTGCAAATCTCTTATTTTGGTTTTACTTTGTTGGATGGCCACATCTACCTCGCGTTTTCCTGACGAAGTCTCTTAAAGGGTTTCGAGGGAAGATGTTTTGTTAAATAAAGACAGATCGTCTGTCTGTTTCGTTGGAAGTTGATTTGAAAGGAAATCAAGCGGGTAGCAAATGGTATACTGGAGATGCCACTTCAGCAAAATGTACAACATAGTCTTGAGCAAAAACCCTGTCTCGCTCTTGTTCTCTTTAGCACGACGGCAAAGGGTTGGTACCGAGGCTAAAAGGTATGACTCTAAGCCCGCTCTTTTGTTTTGGTAGAATGATGGCCTCATGCACCGTTGGTTACGAGCTCCTGAGTTTCTAGAGTTTTGTCTTAATCGTTGAAACGAGACACTTGCTGTCTGAACGACAACTTGGTTAAAACATAGTCGCTTTGTATCCTAAGAAGCTTTCATCGTTCATTAAATTTTAACTTAAGAAACACCTTGCAAACGGGCGTTTAGATAACACATCGGCTTCGATACGTACGTTTTCCAAACTAGAATTAAGCGAAGAAATGAAAATCGAATTTTTCTATCATAAAATTTTTTTACGAGGTCAAACTAGGATTGGCGAATGCCTGTACTTATACTTTTAATCTAGTGTTGTAGATTCAGTTAACTTCTGTCGGAGTATAGTTCAAATGTTTCAGATCTAACACTCACTCTCGTCCCGCGGTCCAATCTCCTTGCCTGTTGGCTTTGTTTTCTTTTCCTTTTTTTTCTTCGGCGGCCTTACTTCGAGTAGTGTTTTTTCGGTGTCGTTTGATCTTACAGAACTGCGACCATCGTCGTCATCAACAGTCGACTGGTTCAATTTTTGTTTCTTTTTCTTCTTAGTTTCATTTTGGGGTTTCTCGTCCATTTCCGGGTCTATCTGAGCTGCTTCATCTGTGTGTTCCTGCCTTTTCTTCTTCTTTTTCTTTTTATCCTTCTTCCCTGTTTCCACATTGGTTTCTTCCTCGATGTCCCCTCCCGTTGAATCCTCTACTGCAGATTCCTTAGCCTTCTTTTTCTTGATTTTTGGTTCAGCGGTCTCCTCTCCACCTTCATTTGTACCTGCGCCTTGTTTATTTCCTTTCTTTTTGGGTTTCAGCAATTCCTCATCCACTTCATTTCTAGTGCAAGGATCAGTTAAAGGCCTCTCTAATTCTTCTGTTTTCTGTTTTCTCTTTCCTTTTTTTTCCTTTCTTCTCTCCACTTTTTGTTCTTGAGGTTCACCGGTCGATGTATTATCTGCTTTTTCGTCGGTTGCTACAACCCAAGCGTCTTTTGTATTTTTCTCTCGTATCATCTTCTCTTTATTTTCTTTCTTCTTCTTTCGCTTCTTGTCATTCTTCTTCTTGCTGCCTGTATTTTCAGGTTCACTGTCGAACTTAAGCGGTTGATCACCAACAACAGACAAGGAGTCTCCAAAAATGCTTTCTATCTCGGCATCTGTGGCGCAACGACTCTCTACATTTCTCTGTACATCGTGTAATATTTGAATTAGTTCGTTTTCGGTCGCTTCGGCTTGGGAGTCACTGAAGCTGCTTCTTCCGTCTGCACTTGGAGTGTTTCGCGTCAAGTTTTCTTTAGCAGTTGGTTCTGTATCAGTGATCAAGAAAGAAGGACTCTGAATTCTGCTTGGTTCCATTTCAGTGCCAAGATTAACCATTACGCTTCCACGATGGCTAACCGAGCTGCCGACCCTTACATCGATTTCTTTCGCCAGCAGATTTGTTTCATCGTCGACATCCTCCTCCGATCCCTTCTCGTCATCACTCAATTTTTCGTCGTCGCTGTTAATTCCGTCGCTGTCATCGTTGCTATCATCGCTGTCACTGTTACTTTCATCAGAGGAGTCATCGTCGTCACCAGAACCGTTGACTTGATCAAAGACCATATCCTCCACCATCCGCTTTTGTTGATAATATTGCAAGACACTCTCTAGCTCATCTTCGCTGTACTGGTTAAGGAACTTCTCGAAAACTGGAATAGAATCACAAAGTTCTTCCTCGTAATAGTCCCAATCCACTTCCATTAACAGCCTCATCAGGTTTTTCTTCTTTTCCGTGCAGTTTTCGCTTTGGAACCAACGCGTCTTCCTCATATCTTCGAATGTGATGTTCCTGATGAAATGCATGGCATTATCCGCGTCATCGGCGATTCTATCAAAGTTGAGTTCTAGTTCACTCTTCGGTTCTTTGTACACTGGGTGTATGGCATGACCGATCGACTTGCCGATGTTTTCTTTCAGCCGATGAACCATGAAGTCCACTATTTCGTATTCATTGGACTGTTTTTCCACATCGCTGCGCACTTCGGCAAACGCATCGTTAATGATGGAAAGGAACATGTTGATGAGCACAAACACCATGGTCACTGTGTATGTATAGAAGAAAATTGGTCCAATAACCCGATTGGCTGAAAACATTTCCTTTAAAGTGAACTTGCCGAGTATTGTATCCATCAAAGAGGCGCAGCTTCTTAAAAATGTCCCAAACCCCTCCATTGCCTGCCCAAAAACTAGGCATGCAAGAAGTGCAAAGGCTAGGAACGCAAGTGCAAACATAAACATGAATGATAACAACTCGATGAACGACCTTTTGAGGACTTGTTGCAGCAGTGACATGCGACGGTTGAATCGCAAGAGACGGAACAATTTCAAGAACGAGAAGAACACAATGAGGCCCATGATGCACTTGAGCCACTCGTCTAGGAAAGCTGTGTAATGGAAGCTGACAAAACCAGTTCGATCTGTGTTCATATCCCTTATCGCATCTTTGGTGAATTTTAGCCTTGCGAAGTATAGTCCCACTGCAGACAGAGATAGCAGAGTCACAAGAATTTCCAGAATGCTCCATGGATTCTTGAGGTGCTTCCTTCCTTTCTTTACGAACATCTTTATCTCTTTGACCACGAAGAATGTGCTGAACAAAAGGTATACAATTTCGCACGTCAAGACAAAGTACATTTCGCCTCCAACGTAGCGGAAGAGACGTAGAGTCAGAATGCTGGGATACGGAGTCAGACTTCCGGTGGGAAGTTGTTCAAACAACAGCGTGACAACGCAGAACAGATTAGTGTTTGCGTTGTAAATCGCAAACTCAGAGAAGATAGCTCTCGTGTAACGGTCCAACCATTTGCTTAAACTTAGGTTTCCCGTTATCGTGAGGGTCTCGTTTATATCCTTGGGCAACATTTGTACGTATCCTTCAAAATAGAGAGACAAATGTTAGTGAGTGCACACACCTGGTGAGCTACACAGATCTGGAAACAGAGAATCGAACTTGAAGTTCCTTTTATAAATTAAGATCTCGTAAGAGGAAGCATTTGATCTCTTGATGGTATAACCACAGTGAAGGAACACAAGTAAAAGATGACGAAACAAGAAATTGGAAAGAGTTTTTAAAACTCTTGTAGTAGTTAAAAAAAATGTACTCTCTCCATTAGGGCTGTTATTTTTCATCAGGAAAATGTTATCTTTAGGATAATGTGGACTGATACTACAAAGTCATGCGGATCATAGACAGCTTGATTCATTCTTAGGACGCACAACTGGTTAAGGTGAGGCCAAGGTGTTTCATAAGATCATGCAACCGGAAGCCATGTTCAAAATCTACTGTCATTCAAACTGATACATATTAGGTCTATTGCTAAATTATAGAGTGGCACCATTTACCTCCAGCGCTGTATGTGGCTTTGTAACCCCAATATGGGTAAGTCTTCAACTCCGTTCCGCTCTGGTACGCCCAAGGACCTGGGACTTGAGGCTCTTGACTTGGAGTGGGAGAGGCACTGGGAACGGGTGATGATGAATTAAGTGGTGGTATAAGCGGTTTCACTTTCCATCCAGGTAAATATGAGCCTTGGTCCTCCAATTCCATGCTGTAGAAATCATTGCACTCGCTGATGACATGATGAAAGGCTCTCTTGTATTTGCAGGTGTCTGTAACGAGGCAAACATTTATTCGTCAGCAAAACCACCTTCGCAAACGTGCTCTAAGTGCTCAAATGCCTTAAGAGTTTCCA